CAAATGTATTGAGTGATTCTAGGCATTTAGGTGGCTAAAGGCACTATTATCTCCCTGTGAAAACCACGTATTGATCATTCCAGGGCTGAGACATGGCACTGAGGAGGTGATGCATCAGGTCCCCCGAACTAACTCTCTTTCAGCACTGAGGGGCGGAGCTGTGTCCTCTTGCAAAGTCCTCTCTATACTCAGTGTGTGGTTATGCGCATCATCAACAGAACGAATGAATGAATGGGGCACAACCATGACCTTCACCAAGCTTCAAGGCCCTGCCTCAGCCACAGTGGGTAAAGTGGGAGATGATTTTCAGTTTATGGCCAGGACCCAGGGGTGAGATGTTCCAGGTGCACCACGCCAAGCTATCAGACTCTGCCAGGTGGGGAGACAGTCGCCCATGGTTGTAATGTACAGACACACACCCTAGGGTACCCGTCCCATAGTTCAAGGGATGTGGGTCAAGCTGACACCTAATCTAGTTTCAAATGAGGTCACTTTCCCAGAGCAAAAGCACCAGAGATGCCAGCAAACCTGGCAACACAGACTTTCCCATCCACGTCAGAGAACCCTCTCTGCTGTTCCATAAACATCACCCCGCCATGGTTCAAAAACAGGAAAGAGGCTGGCGCCGCGGCTCACTAGGCTAATCCTCCGCCTTGCGGCGCCAGCACACCGGGTTCTAGTCCTGGTCGGGGAGCCGAATTCTGTCCCGGTTGCCCCTCTTCCAGGCCAGCTCTCTGCTGTGGCCAGGGAGTGCAGTGGAGGATGGCCCAAGTGCTTGGGCCCCGCACCCCATGGGAGACCAGGATAAGTACCTGGCTCCTGCCGTGGGATCGGCGTGGTGCGCCGGCTGTGGCGGCCATTGGAGGGTGAACCAACGGCAAAGGAAGACCTTTCTCTCTGTCTCTCTCTCTCTCACTGTCCACTCTGCCTGTCAAAAAAAAAAAAAAAAAGGAAAGAACACTCATCCTTCACATTCAGATGGTTCAGGCGAAGAAAAGAAATGCCTGTAAAGTCTTCAGTATGCTGACGCGGCCCTGGCTCCGTGTACTACCTGCAAGGTGAACCCCCCAAGCACCCTACACTCTCTTCTCGGGGATGCTGAGTCGGCAGACTTTCACTGGCGCTGGAGCTCGCCCTCCCCAAATCTGCATCAGGGCATGGGCTGGAATAACAGCGGGGACATCCAGCTGGTGAGCAACACCTTGTGCTGCGGACTGCCACGTACTAGGCGGGCACTAAGTAAGTGGCCACCGAGTGATAAGCAAGATGGACCTACCTGCAGAGGAGCTGGTGCTGGTGACAGTCTCGGCTGCCATGCAGCAGGAAGAAGGGGGCTTGACTGTAAGTCGAGGGGTGGCCGAGAGGCTGAGAGAGGCAGGATAAGGTGGAGTCAGCCCATGAAGGGACTACGAGGACGTGTGATGCCAAAGCTTACGCGGCAGGAGAAGCACCCCTCACTCTCAAGCACCCAGGAATCTCTCGCATCCACTCCAAAGCTCCACCGTGGGGATGGCTGTGAGAGAAATGGGTCTTGACCAAGGGTTTGCAAAATATCTCTACAGGATGATAGAGGGCATAGGACTCAGGCTTGGGGGGAAAGGGCAGTGTCCAGTCTCAGGGCTGGGTGTCAACTCTTTGTCCTCCAGTAACATTCACTCAGGGGAGAACCCAGAACTAAGCAGAACCCAACCCCGGCCAAGTGGGGTCAAGGCTGAGGCAGCTGTGAGGCCATTGCTGTGGTTTAGTTAATGAGTCAGGCTCCCAGGGGAGCCCCACAAAGGGGAGGGAAGTTGTGGGATATCAGAATAGGTAGGAACCCTGTGGCTCCAAAGCTTCTGGGGAGAGCCAGACCAGAGACAGCACCTGGGGCACGGCACTCGTGTTGTTTTGTTTTGTTTTGTTTTGTTTTTGTTTTGTTTTGACAGGCAGAGTGGACAGTGAGAGAGAGAGACAGAGAGAAAGGTCTTCCTTTTTGCCGTTGGTTCACCCTCCAATGGCCACCGCGGCCGGCGCACTGCGCTGATCCGAAAGCAGGAGCCAGGTGCTTCTCCTGGTCTCCCATGGGGTGCAGGGCCCAAGCACTTGGGCCATCCTCCACTGCACTCCCTGGCCACAGCAGAGAGCTGGCCTGGAAGAGGGGCAACCGGGACAGAATCCGGCGCCCCGACTGGGACTAGAACGCGGTGTGCCGGCGCCGCAAGGCGGAGGATTAGCCTAGTGAGCCATGGCACTGGCCACGGCACTCGTTATTACCATGAAACCAGTGGCCGTTCCCTCCTGGGCTCGGAAACTCCAGTGAGTGTTCTCAGTGGCGAACAGGGCAGATCCAGCAGCAGTCCTCACTCAGGTGCATGCTGCAGGGAGCAAGGCAAACCTCGATGAAAATACGGCATTAAGAATTCTGCTAGGGAATGAAGGGTGCACGGGTTTTCTGGCACCAAGGAGACGAGAGTGGACATCCCCAGGAGAGGGGAGGAGAGGAGTGGGGAGAGAGCTCCTGGAGAGAGGCTGGCATAGCTGAACCCACACTTGAGTGAAAGGTGAAGTAAGGCTCGCGATGCATTTGAGACCAGATCAGTGAAGGACAAGAGAATATTTTTTTTGACAGGCAGAGTTAGACAGTGAGAGAGAGAGAGACAGAGAGAGAGAAAGGCCTTCCTTTTTCCTTTGGTTCACCCCCCAAATGGCTGCCACTGTCAGCGCGCTGCGCCAATCCAAAACCAGGAGCCAGGTGCTTCTCCTGGTCTCCCATGGGGTACAGGGCCCAAGCACTTGGGCCATCGTCCACTGCACTCCTGGGCCACAGCAGAGAGCTGTACTGGAAGAGGAGCAACCGGGACAGAATCCGGCGCCCCAACTGGGACTAGAACCCGGGGTGCCAGTGCCGCAGGCTGAGGATTAGCCGAGTGAGCCGCAGCGCCGGCCATTTTTTATTTTTATTTTATTTTTATTTTTAATTAATTAATTTATTTATTTGAAAGACAAAGTTACAGAGAGGCAGAGGTAGAGAGAGAGAGGTCTTCTATCCACTAGTTCACTCCCCAGAAGGCCTCAACGGTTGGAGCTGCACCGATCTGAAGCCAGGAGCCAGGAGCTTCTTCCGGGTCTCCCATGAGGGTTCAGGGACCCAAGGGCTTGGACGATCTTTCACTGCTTTCTCAGTCCATAGCAGAGAGCTGGATCAGAGTTGAAGCAGCAGGGGCTTCAACCGGTGCCCATATGGGATGCCGGCTCTGCAGGTGGAGGCTTAGCCTTCTAAGCCGCAGCGCCAGCCCCCAGAATATTTTATTTTAATAGCAGTTGGAAACTACAGAGAGTGGCATACTCAGATTTCTCTTTTAAAGGTACCCCTCGGCCAGCTACAGTGTGAGGATAAGATTGAACCAGGGAAAGACTAAGAGGCAAATGGAAAGCCCAAGATGACCATGGAGCCAGAGATGAGAGAGAGAGAGAGTCAGATTGTTTGTGTTCCCCCAAATTCCTATGTTAGATCCTAATGCCCCACGTGATGTTTTTAGGAGATGGGAGCCTTTGGTAGGCCTTACGTCATGAGGGTGGAGTCCTCATGAGTGGAAATAGTGCTCTTATAACAGAGACCCCAGAGAATTCCCTGCCCCTTCTGCCACGAGAGGACACGGTGAGACCAGGGCCGTCTCTGAGCCAGAAGGTGGGTCCTCAGCACCCACTGATGCCTTCACCTTGGGCTCCCCAGCCCCCAGAACTCCGAGGGTGCATCCTGTGGGTTGTGAGCCACCTGGGCTATGGCGTTTTGTTACAGCAGCCCGAACACACTGAGACACAGAGGTGTGGAGACGAAAGGCTCTGAGGGTGAGGGGCGCGAGGGTGGATGCTGGACCCCACAGTGCAGACGCCAGCTAATACACCTGCGTCCCACGCTGGACTACCTGGCTCCTGACAGCAGCTTCCCGCTAGTGCACACCCTGGGGGTGGTAGTGATGGCTCAAGTGGCCAGGTCCCTGCCACCCGTACACTCACCTACACTCACACACACACACCCTTACACAATCACACACTCAGTCTCACACCCCCACTCTGACACTCACACACTCTCACATTCCCCTACTCTCTCACATGCAGAGTCACACACTCACACTCACACATTCACACATATTCTCACACATTCACACACACGTGCTCACACACACTCACACTCACCTATACTCACACACTCTTACACAATCACATACTCAATCTCACACTCACTCTGACACACATTCACACTCACATTCACACACACTCACATACTTTCACACACATTCACACTCACCTCACACACACTCACCTCACACGCATTCACATACTCTCACACACACACACACTCATATACTTTCACACACGCTCCCTGACTGTCACCATGTGATACCCTGTGCCACCTCAGCGCTCTGCCAGCAAGAAGGCCATCGCCAGACACAGCCCTTTGACCTTGGACCTGCAAATCCACTGCCGAAATAGAGCTTTTCTCTTACAACTCACCTGGTCTCTGGGGTTGCGTTGCCCAGCAGTAGGAAACAGGCTAACGTGTGTCCCGAGTGGGGGTGGGGAGGGGACTGGAAACATCGTGATGCAGAGCGGCTCAACCCCATCTCCGACTTGCCCTGTGGCTCTGGGCCAGCCTACGGTGAGGAGGAGGCAGTGGCTGGGAGCAGTGGGGAGACCGGGTCACAGAGGCGCATGGACACTGGGGCAGAAGCCAGAGGCCCTGGACGTGGTCATGTGGGGCCTGTGGCTGCTCAGAAGTAAAAGAGGAGGAGGCACACGCTTGGTGTGGGAGTCTCTCCTGCCCCAGCCTCACATCCGGGACAGTCATAAAGGGCATCGGCTCCCTCCTCCTGCCTGCGAGATGAACATGCTGAGACCCTGCCCCACCTCCACCCTCTTAAGACCCCAGGCCTCCTCCGCCCTCTTAAGCAGAAACCACCACCCCCTCCCAAGACCCAACTCCCTGCTCACCAAAGTGCGTTCTGCACACACAGGGTCCCCTTCAGACATGGCCACTGGCACTTTTGACCACCAGGGCCGATGGAACGGAAAGAACAGGCCCCAGCACCGGGGGCCCCGTGCCCAGGAGCCTGCCTCCTGATTCCACCTGTGCAACTCACTTGAGCCCAGGTGTTCAACTGTCACACAAGGCTGAACACACCCAGCCACATCCCTGGGCTGGAGGAGGAAGGGCCGCCCGCAGCCAGGGCAAGGAGTGAGGGTCCAGTGGCAGGGCCTAGGGACTGGGGGCACTGCCCTTCGTACCAGTAACATCTCAGCTCATCTCTGATTCCTATTTTACAACTTAGAAACGGGAACTATTGTCACCTCGCCGCCACTTCCTCCCATCCCACAGTCACTTCCTCTTGTATCACGGGAGACAAAGCTTTGTGTCTGTCCACAAAGCCCAGATTCGGGACAGAGCGGCTTCCAGGGCCCACCAGGATGCCGAGCCCAGCCCTTCAGCCTTGCCTGCCCCTGCCATGCCTGCTGCTGCCGCCTCTGCTGCTGGGACTCACAGGTGAGCGCCTCCACCCTCCGTGGCCCCACAGTGTAGGGGTGCTCCCCGACTGGCTGTGCTGCTTCCCCGTGGCCAGGGGGCTGGAGGACCTCTGCTCCAGGGCCTGTGTCCTCACTGCTCTTTGCCGTAAAGCATTTCCCTAAATGGTTTCTTTTGTCCCTAAATTGCCCCCTGATTGGAGGGGTCCTTTCCTCTCGCATCCAGGTCCAGACAGGATTTAGCCCACCAGAGTGCCCAAGCCACCGTCCCTTCGCCTGCCCTCTGAGGCTCTGTGACCCCTGGGGCTTGACTGCAGGACCTGGTTCCATCCTGAGGGAAGGGGTGCAGGTGCAACATCTGGCTCCTGGGTCCAGCTAAAGACCTAGCCCCTGGGAGGCAGGGCTGCCCTGGTCAAGGTGTGTTTTGGTAGCTGAGTAGAGAAAGAGAGAGAATAATGAGCTCTGTCCATACAGTGTAGACCCTTAAGGAAAAAACAAACAAACAGGTAGGGGCAGGCGCTGTGGCATAGCAGGTTAAAGCCCTGACCTGCAGTGCCGGCATCCCATATGGGTGCCGGTTCAAGTCCCAGCTGCTCCACGTCCAATCCAGCTCCCTGCTAATGCACCTGGGAAAGCAGGAGAAAATGGCCCAAGTGCTTGGGCCCCTGCACCTATGTGGGAGACCCAGAAGAAGCTCCTGGCCTCAGCCTGGCTCAGTCATAGCTGTTACAGCCATTTGGGGAGTGAAACAGCAGATGGAAGATCTCTCTCTCTCTCTCTCTCCATAACTCTGCCTTTCTAATAGGTAAATAAATCTTTAAAAAAACAAAACAGAACAGGCAAAGGTGCTTTTTAGACTGTTACATCTCCCAGAAGCTCAGCACGCTAAGATTATGTCCTTAATGTGGGCGTTTCTCCTGCTGACTATTCCATTCCATGAAGAGCTGGGCTGGGCTGGCAGGAGAAGAGAGGCACCTTCTCTTCCCAGCTGTGTTAGCATCTCAGGGGAGGCACCAACTAGAAAACCAGTGAAAACCTGCCTGCCTGCGTTCAAATTCAAGTTTCATCACTTGTTCACTGTTTGAGCAACTTACTACACTTCTCTCTGCTCAAGTTCTCTTGCCTGTGAAATTGGGATGAATAATAACACTTTTTTGTAAGGTTGTGGTGAAAATGAAATGCATTCGGTGACACAGTGAAGTGTCGAGAATACTATGCGGCACCCAGAAGCATCGCTGTTATAGTCTTCCAGGGTTCAGGAACTGCAAATACGAACATGTAAAAATGGGCCCGGAGGGGCCGGCATTGTGGCACAACAGATTAAGCTGCTGCCTGCAATGCGCGATGCTGGCATCCCATATGAGGGCCGGTTCAAGTCTCGGCTACTCCATTTCTGATCCAGCCCCTGGCTAGTGTGCCTTGGAAAGCAGCAGAAGATGGCCCAAGGGCTTGGGTCCCTGCACCCATGTGGGAGACCTTGATGACAGTCCTGGATCCTGGCTTCAGCCTGGCCCAGCAGGGGGAGTGAACCAGCAGTCAGAAGATTCTCTCTTTCTCTCTCTCTCTCTCTGTGTGTGTGTGTGTGTGTGTGTGTGTATCTCCCTCTGTTTCTCTGTAACTCTGCTTTTCAAATAAATAAAATAAATCTTTAAAATAATAAAATGCATAGGCCATATATTTTTAAATGACCCTGGAAGTAGGCATTTAGCCTAGGAGTTAGAACACCTCCGTCTCACATTGGGGTGCTTGGGTTCATTTCCCAGCTTCAGCTTCCTGCTAATGCAGACCCTAGGAGGCAGCGGAAATGGCTCAGTGACTGGGTTCTTGTCACCCTGTGGGAGACCTGGATTGCGCAGGACCGCTTGGCATTTGGAGAGTGAGTCAGCTGTTGGGAGCTTGCTCGCTTTCTCTCCCCTCTCCCCACCCCCCGAATACACAGTAAGAAAAATCGTCGTAATGGCTCTACAGATTCGGCCATTACAGCACCCACTGTGTGTCTTTAATGCTCACAGCAGCCAGGGGCACAGGAATGATCAAACCTGCCTGGTTGAAGAAGAAACAGAAAGCAGGGGAGGGAGCGAGTTCTCCGGCAGGGCTGAAGCATGCACCTGAGCCCAGGTGGGCCAGATGCCCAGGCCAGGACCTCAGCAGCTGGACTCCCGGCCAGCAGGGGGAGCCCCTCCCACAGAAGCCCTTCTGTGAGCCCGGCGGGGTCCTGAGTGGTTCTCAAGGGTTCCCAAGGTTGAGTTTCTCAACAAAACTGCAAACTTACCATGAACCACAATGTATACAATTCCTCACGTTGTGTATATTGTAGCAACGGGAAATAGGGGACTCCGAGAGATTCGGGAATTTTCTCAAGGTCAAATCTCAAATAAGCAACGGAGGAGGAATCAAAACCCAATCAAAGGAGTACTTTTTAACCCTTTCTAACCTCTCCACTGTGCTACCTCCATATCTAGTGAATTTTTCAACAAAATCAGAATCACACTAAATATGATGCTTTATTATTCTTCACATCAGGGCCTTTTTTGCTGATGTGTGTATGTGTGTCTACACTATCAATACATCCCCAATATATATTTTACCATCATTATCTTAACAGCTACGTAGTTTGTTCATTATGCTGTTGTACCATTGTTTATCTAACTACTCCGGATTTGTTCTTGGACCCGTGCCTTGAATCAAATTTTCTGTATTGTAAGTACTGTCATCACCATTCCTTCACACAATGAGCTCATCGTCCTCTGACATTTCCTTCAAAGAAGTCTCTAGAAGAGGAATTAAGTCAAAGTGTATGTGTGCATTTTGAAACACAGAATTTCCCTGTGAAATGAGTCTGTCTCAAGTTAGCAATACATTGTCTCAACACACGCCGCATAGAAGCAAAAGCAATGCACAGGTGCCCCGTTTTGAGCATTTCGGACCAAAACCGATTCACTCAGTCTTGTGTCCTCTGCTTGTTTAAGACGTGGGTGTATCAAGGGCACGAGTCGCCCAAGGTCCTGACTGTAATGCCACTTTGCATCTTTTTTTTATTATTTATTTTTTTATTTTTTGACAGGCAGAGTGGACAGTGAGAGAGAGAGACAGACAGAGAGAAAGGTCTTCCTTTTGCCATTGGTTCACCCTCCAATGGCCGCCACAGCCGGCGCGCTGCGGCCAGCGCACCATGCTGATCTGAAGGCAGGAGCCAGGTACTTACCCTGGTCTCCCATAGGGTGCAGGGCCCAAGCACTTGGGCCATCCTCCACTGCACTCCCGGGCCACAGCAGAGAGCTGGCCTGGAAGAGGGGCAACTGGGACAGAATCCGGCTCCTGACCGGGACTAGAACCCGGTGTGCCGGCGCCGCAAGGTGGAGGATTAGCCTATTGAGCCACGCGCCAGCCTGCCACTTTGCACCTACCACATTGGCCAATTTATGTTCTCGCCCCCAGTGCGTGGGAGAGCTGCTTCCCACATCCTTGCCCACCCTGAGACCTGGCAAAGTCTCTCATTTTTCCAAGTTGGCATTCTGAAAACAGGGCATGCTCCCAGGGTCCAGAAGGAAGATAATTTTTAACTTTTATTGCATTACAAGCTTGTTGACAAATGACCCAAACCGGGAAGAAATGTATAAGTAATTAACCAAGTCTCCAGCCCCATCCCGTTCCCTGGGGACAGCCACTTTTTCAGAGTGTTGTTGGCTTTCTTCCATGTAGCTTTCTGCCATGGACATAAGCTGCCCCCGGGCCCTCTGGCAAATCTGTATATGCATGTGTGCTCAGGGCTGATTCTAGGGGCTTTGGCTCTTCCATTCTCCCCAGCTCCTGCCTCAGTACCGACCCCACTCTGTCGCTGTACCCTGAGGTGTGCTCATGTTTCATGTGCCAAGAACTGCGTGCATTGCTTTTTAACTTCTCCAGCTAGTCTACTGTGGACTTTAGCATTTAGCTTCTGCTTTAAATATGCATCTCCTTGTTTGACTGAGGTTCCGGGACATCTTTTCATATCTCCTTCCCTGTCTGTACCTTTGCACAGCCTGTCTGAACTGTCTCTGCGTTGCTCTCCAGCAATTTGTCCCTCCTAGAAGCTGACACACCAGAGGGACAGAGAGAATCGAGGAGCTGCACCTGCAGGTTGGACCCAAGCGCCTGGACCCCAGCCTCAGCCCCTGCTGAGCCAGGGCAGGGGTCTTGGAACTGAATCCTGTTTCCCCCCAGCAGTGGCGGCAAAGGAGGCGCTGCAGGTGACTCAGCTTCAGAAGCGGGTGTCGGTCTCCACTGGAAACTCGGTCACCCTGCACTGCACCATAAACACCCTGCTGCCCGTGGGGCCCATGCAGTGGTTCAGGGGGGCTGGCCCAAACCGGAAGATGATCTACAGCTTCAAGGGAGGCCACTACCCCCGAGCCACAAATGTCTCAGACACCACAATGCGAAACAATACGGACTTTTCCATCCGCATCCATGACGTCACCACTGCAGACGCTGGCACCTACTACTGCGTCAAGTTCCAGAAGATGGGTGCCTATGACGTGGAGATTAAGTCTGGAGGAGGCACGCAGGTGTCTGTGCGTGGTGAGTCCAGACCCCTAGAAATCCAGCCCGTTGTTCTGTAACGAATCACAAGTCCATAGCTCAGCCAGAGGGTACCCCCTTGGCTAAGCCGTGGGCCCACTTTGAGGCTAGAAACTGGGAGCTCACAGTGATGAAGCAGAGTGGAAATAATCCACAGATTCCTAGCCCTCTGCAACCTTCCAGCTTAGACCCACAGAACAGACTGAGAGGACCAGGGGAAAAAGCAGGACTGCAGGGCCGGGCGGCCTGGATTCACCGGCTAGCACTGCCGCTGAGTGACCTTATGAGTTTCTCAACTTCTCTATGCCTTGGTTTGCTCATCTGTAAGATAGGGAGGGGGCGGCACTGTGGTGTAGCAAGTTGAGCCGCCACCTGCAGTGCCATCATCCCTTAGGGGAGCCCGTTCGAGTCCTGGCTGCTCCACTCCTGGTCCAGCTCTCTGCTAATGCACCTGGAAAAACAGTGGAGGCTAGTCCAAGTGCTTGGGCCCTTGCTCCCATGCAGGAGACCCGGAAGAAACTCCTGGTTCCTGGCTTCAGCCCAGTCCAACCCTGGCCATTGCAACTGTTTAGGGAGTGAACCAGCAGATGGAAGATTCTCTCTCTCTCTCTCTCTCTCTCTCTCTAACTCTTCCTTTGGATATAAATAAATTAATCTTTTTTAAAAATAAGACAGGGATAGTATTGATCTCATAGGTTGGTCATGAAGATTACACATTAATGTGTTTGTAAACGTAAAACACCTACCTGAGATTGCTCGCTACATGATAATCATATTAGGGTACATCATCAGTTTCAGGATATTTCATTTAAACTTAAAATATAAACCTACAGGCGTGAAGCCGCAGACTCCCATATGATCTGTGTAGGATAGGAGAGCAAGACAAAGAGGAGACAGAACACGGACTCACAGCTAGAACAGGTTTGTTCACCGCCTGAGAGGACTCATCCCTTGTGAATGCATGGGCACAGAGCCCCTGCTCGCACAAACCAACACCTTATCCTGGGAGAGCGTGGTGGGGTCTGGGCTAAGGCTGAGCTTTTGAGAAGGGGGAGAGCTTGGGCTAGCGGCTGATCCCTCAAGATAGGGTGTGGTTTGAGAGGGTTTGGACTAAGGCTGGACTCTTAAGACAGTGGGGAGGGTTTTGGCTAATGGCTGGACCTTAAGATGGTGGTATGGCCAACAGGTGAGGCAGGGCAGGGCTGAGCCTGCTGAAGAAGGTGGCAGGAAGTTGGGGGCCTGCTCCCAGGCCCACAGGTGAGAGGCCAAAATAGATCTAAGGCTTTGTCCTTGCTCATCAATATGAATGATAGAATTGTTAAGGTAGGAAAGTATAAGCATTAAATTTTTAAAAGCATTTCTTTTTTCAATATTCAATTTTTATTTATTTGAAAGGGAGACTGACAGAGACAGGAGGAGAGACAGACAGATCTGCTACCTGCTGGTTCACTCCCCAAATGGCTGCAATTGCTGAGGTCAAACCAGGTGGAAACCAGGAGCCAGGAGCTCCCTCTGTGTCTCCCACGCGGGTGCAGGAGCCCAAGCACCCGGGCCATCCTCCACTGCTTTCCCAAGCACAATAGCAGGGAGCTGCATCGGAAGCGGAGCAGCTGGGACTCAAACCAGCGCTCACGCGGTCGCCGGCATCACAGGCAAAGGCTTAGCCTACTATGCCACAAGAAGTTCTGGTCCCAAGAACCGCATTTTTATGTAGAATTTATGATCTATTTCTTAAATCTTGGCCTTCATTTCTGCAAGTTCCTGAATCTGGGCCTGACGGATGTGATCGTGGCTGAAGACAGAGACTGTAAATAGCACTGTCAAAAGGAATCCCGAGAAGCAGAGACGTCGGTTCATGCCTCTTTGTACTGATGAATTAATAATCAGGATCTTTTTTCTTTTAAAAACTGAATGTGATAATTTGCTCTGGCAGAACCATATAAACATATAGCAGCATTTGAATCTTTAAAATGTTAACACCTCAGAGCCATGAAGAAACAGAGAATGGTAGGCAGTCTTTTGGGTCAAAGTGAAGGTCATACAATTTTGAAGAACTGAAAATAAGGGGCTGTTGCTGTGGCATAGTAAACTAAGTCTCTGCCTGTGGTACCGGCATCCCATATGGGCGCCTGTTCAAGTCCCAGCTGCTCCACTTCCAACCCAGCTCCTTGCTAATGGCCTGGAGGATGGCCCAAGTGCTTGGGCCCCTGCACTCATGTGGGAGACCTGGAAGAACCGCCTGGCTCCTGGCTTCAGGTTAGTCTAGCTCCAGCCATTGCTGCCATTTGAGGAGTGAACCATTAGATCGAAGACCTCTCCTCTCTCTCTCTCTGTCTCTTCCTCTCTCTGTCTGTAACTCTGCCTCTCAAATAAATAAATCTTTTTTAAAAGACTTAAAAATAAAAACCAAATTGTACAAAAGGCATTGCGAATGAGATCAGTATGAGATATCCAAGGGCAAAATCAGACCCTACAAGGCAGGAATAATACCTTCAGTGTTCTCGGAAAATTGTTTCCAAACTCAATGCTGTACCTAGCTTATCTATGGTGTTGACAAAATCACCGAGAACTGACTTCCATGCACCCTTTATGCTTGACCACAATAGGAGCTAAAGCAAGACAAAGTGAGAATGGGAACTAGGAATAGGGATTGGAGATTTCAAGACAACATATGGGAGGTCCAGAAATGACCAATGGGCCACCCAGGAAGACTGAGGGACTTAATAGGACATCACAAAAAGATAGAATTGGTAGAATATTCAAATAGCCTTCAAACTCTTGCCTACTGTTATTTAATATTGTGTTGAAATATTAGCCAATGCTTTTAGAAGGAGAAAGCAACAAAATGTATAAGGATTGTAAAGAAAATGGAAAAACTCTCTCTCGGGATGGGGGTTGGGGCACAGCACGTTGAGCCACTGCTTAGGCTGCCTGTGTCCCATATCACAGTGCCAGCTGGAGTTCTGCCGGCTCTGCTCCCTGGCCAGCTTCCTGCTAATGCACCTGGGAAGGCAGCAGGTGATAGCCAAAGTATTTGGCTTCTTCCCACCATGTGTGAGATCTGCATGGAGTTTCTGCCTCCTGACTTCAACCTGCCCCAGCCCTGGCTGTTGTGGGTATTTGGGGAATGAACTAGTGGGTAGAAAAATCAATCTGTCTCTCTCTGTCAATTCTGCCTTTCAAATAAATGAAAAAGCTTATTTCTGTTTGCAGATAATATGGTATCTGGAAAACTTAATAACATTGACATTGAGCTATTACAAACAATAAGATGACTTAGTAACATAGAAAGTTGTCAAATCAAGGAACAGAAATCTGTAACATTTATCCAGTTAGAAGATATAATGGGAAAGATGAACATATACCGTTATAGAAAAATTAAATCAAATACTTAGGACAACTTTTACCAAAATAGTGACAAGCACTACATTCATTTGCCCACAAAACTCTAGGCACAGTATTTGAAGCAATGGTGGACAAGACACTGGACACCAGGCAACCAAGCATAGTGATCCCTGCAAGGTGGGAAGCAAATTGGTGACCACTAGGATTGCCCCAGGTTACTCCCTGCGGAAGCTTCAAGGCCGGCAGGCAGGAAGGGAGGATCCTGGAGGCCTTGCTGAGTAGGTTAGAAGAAAGTGGAAGTGGATGTAGGTCAGAGTGGCTAGGGTTTGCCAGGCGAGCATGGCAGAGCAGGGAGATTCGCACACAGAACTCCGAGATCTTTAGAAGGTCTCCCTTGGTGTTGAGTGGAGGGGTGAAGTGTCTGCACGTGTGGAAGCTACCTGAGGCATGGGAGAAGAAATCCTGGCCCTCATACAGGAGCAAGAACAGCACCCGTGCCTAGCAACCTGAGTGCAGATCCTCACCATCGGGTAGGGTACGCAGAGCGTTTCTGCCTCAGAGGGGAAGGAATTAGGCCCAGACTAAGTGATGCGGCGATCCTGACGCACAAAGCTTAGGCGTGAGGTCGAACTGCTCGCAGGCCATTTAACCATGTCCCAAAGCAAGCCCAAGCACACTCACAGAGATGCAAAACATCCAAACCCAACGAGGTCAAATTCTCCAGAGCTGGCACACAACCCGAGACCAGCAGACAGGGAAATGGCAGCAAGTGTGATTCATAATGAGAAAAAAAAAAGTCAGCCTTTGGAAACCTAACCAGGGAAGACAGGCGAGAGAATTAGCACACGAGATTGCAGCTCTGCCTGTTGGCTAAGAGCAAGTGTAGAATTAGCACACGAGGACATTAGTGTATGTACACATTCTACGCTCTTATTATATGTGCACATTCTAGAGGAACTACGTAAAGCTGATGCACAGGAAATATAAAAAAGACCCTCAGTGAGCTTTGAAGATAAAGGCTGCAAAGTCTAGCAGGAAAACTAGACTGGGGAGGACCAATAACAGATACGACATTAAAGAGCACTAATAGGCTCAAAGATGACAACAGGAATCACTCACACTGACACAACCTGGAGTTCTGTGTTAAAAAGGGTGAAAATGTGGGGGCACTGTTTAAAGTTCATGGCAAATGGGATTAAAGATAAGTTTATCTGGGAGCAAAAAACTTTTGAAAATCCATGCATATGAAGGGTCTTCAAAAAGTTCTTTTTGTATGTGAGCAAACTATGCAGAGGTTTCAAAAATGTTTGCATCAAAATAAATTGATCTTTTAATTCCATTTTTCCATGCATCTTTTGAAGTGCTCTTGTACAAGCGTATATTTTTTTCTCACATTTTTAAAAAAGAAGCATAAACCAAAATCTACTTTTAAATGTGTAGCCCCTATAGCCACTGCCTGTAGTGCCGGCATCCCATAAGAGTGCTGGTTCAAGTCCTGGCTGCTCCACTTCTGGTCCCGCTCCCTGCTAATGCACCTGGGAAAGCAGAGGAGAATGCTTGGGCCCTCACACCCATGTGGGAGACCCAGATAGAGATACTGGCTCCTGGCTTCTGATCAGCCCACTTCTGGCCCTTGCAGCCACTTAGGGAGTGAACCAGCAGATAGAAGATCTCTCTCTGTAATTCTGCCTTTTAAATATACACATAAATCTTTTTAAAAGATGTATTGAAAGGCAGAGTTACAGAGATGCAGAGGCAGAGAGAGAGAGAAGTCTTCCATTTACTGGTTCACTTCCCACATGGCAGCAACAGTGAGAGCTGGGCTGATCCGAAGCCAGGAGCCGGGAGCTTCTTCCAGGTCTCTCAGGTGGGTGCAGGGACCAAAGGACTTGGGCCATCTTCTGCTGCTTTCCCAGGCCATGGCAGAGAGCTGGATCAGAAGTGCAGCAGCTGGGATTAGAACCAGTGACCATGTGGGATGCGGGTACTGCAGGCAGTGGCTGTACCCATTATGCCACAGCACCAGCCCCATAGATAAATCTTAAAAAAAAAAATGCTTAGTTATAATGAAGGGAAGAAAGAGGGTGGAAGAGACAGAGGTGAACGCTCAACTTCTCTGAATATGCCTTACTTAAGTTCTGATTCTGTAAACACATATTTTCAATAATTAATAAACAAAATCCAAAATGAGAAAAATTTCAAAATCTAAATTACTAAGTCTAAAATGAAATTAGTTAATCTCATTATGCCTTGACCACATGGAGATGAAGTAGTAACCACATGGAGATGAAGTAGTTCAAGGGACTTTAAAGCATGGAGTTTTAGCTTGGGTTCACTGAGAAGCGGCTCATGAGACAAGGATTGGATGCAAAGAACTCCAGTAGCAGGTGGCAGAATCAGACGCTCAGTGAAGGGTGCATGAGTGTGTCATGGTCCCTGCAGGAAACTGGAGCTCAATCCAGGTGGAAAACCCTGGGGATCAGTACAGAACATGGGAAAGTCTGCACACTCAAAGATCTGTTTTCTCCAACAAAGAAATGACCAGGAAAAAGAGAGAAGAAGAATTCCTTTATGAAAAGAGAGTAAAAGGTTTGGGAAGCAACAGCAGAATGTAATACATGCATGCTGCTTGGATCCTAATTCAAACCAGCTATAAAAGTATACTGATGAGATGAGCAGGAAAATTTAAAAGCTAACAAATAATTATTATGAAATGTTAAGTATAATAATGGTATTTTGATTTTTAAAAGAATTCTTACTCTTGGACATATGTGCTGAAGGAGTTAGGAAAGAAAAGAAGGAATGTCTGCTATTTGCCTGAAGTAGCCCCATGTGTGACTTATTTCACTGAGCACAATGCCCACTGCCTTTATCTGTTGTCCAAATGGCAGGATCTTCTTTTCAAGGCTGTGTGCTTGCGCCCTGATGCCTTTACTGCGCACCTGCTGACAGACACTCACTACTGTGAATGGGACTGCAATGAGCCCCGGGGCAAAGATCACAACAAGGTGGTGACTTCATCTCCAGAAGAGGAGTTGCTGGATCGTGTGGCTCCTCTGTTTTTAATTTCTCTATCTATATGGACTCTAAAGGCCAAGGGAAAACATCCTCAAATACACAGAAACAGAATTGAATGGGGGAACGGGGAGATGGAGGTCCAAGCAAGCCAAAGTGTGGTTATGGAGAATTAAGTGTAGAGATCTAGATTCGTTGTATTTGAAAGGCAGAGTGACAGAGAGAGAATAAGAGATAGATAGAGAGAGAGAGAGAGCTTTCATTCACTGGTTTGCTCCCCTAATGGCTGTATAGGTCAGAGCTGGGCCAGGCTGAAGCCAGGAATCCAAAACTCTGTCCCAGTGTCCCACATAGGTGGCAGGGACCCAAGGACTTGGGCCACTTCTTCTTCCCTCTCAGGTGCATTAACAGAGAGCTGGACTGGAAGCAGAGCAGCCAGGACTCACGCTGGCATTCCCACAGTGGATGCTGATGCGGGATGCAGCTTAACCCACTGCCCCCAGGGCCAGCCCCAGAATTAGAGTGCTAATGACGGACAGCATGAGGACTATGCAAGTTAATACTGTGGTATCATATACTAGAAATTTGCTCAGAAAATAGATGTTAGGTACTTTAAGCTAAAAAGGCTTAACTGTGAAATAATGGGTGTATTAATTCATTGATCATAAAAATAATTTCCGTAATATGTTGGTATCAAAACCTTAGGTTGTATGGATTAAATATACACAAATATATAATGGATGGTAGAAGTATGATGAACAAGATCAGCCCTTTGTTGCTAGTTGTTAAAGTCCCGTGATGAGTGTTTTCACTCTATTTTTGCGCTTATCTAAAAATTATAATAAAAAGTTCTTTTTAATCCAAGCCTGTACACCCCCCTGAAAAATCTTTGTGTTCCCCCAGCTATTCATGTACCCCAAACTGAAGTCACTACAACAATTAGCAGACAGAAAGTTTGGGGATGAGTTTGTTCATAGGAAACTAAGCAAATGCAAATAAGGAGGCGATTAAGAACCCTGGGAAAACAAAAGACTATACCATAGAGTATTTCATGGCCCAATTGTGAACAATACTCATATGGTTTTAATAATATAAATATCGAATACTCATAAAATAAAAAATTATGTGTCTATTGACAGAGCAGGTGTAGCTGGCAGGGAGGGAGACATACGAGCTAAATCATTATATTCCATAGTAGTAGGTCTACCCCTAATATGTAAAGCTAAACATTTGAGAAATAACAGTCTATGTTATTTGGAAACACAGAGAGCCATGCCCAAAGAATCAGACAAAATAATTCAAAACAGTTGATCTGAACTGTTTGCAAGGAGACAAAATTAGGGATCTGCTGAGAGGCGCTGTTTGTGACAGGCATTGCAGGACCTTGTGACAGTGTGCTTTGGGGAGGGAGGGGGACAGGAAGTGCCAAGGTCAGATCTGCATCTTCGTGGGACCCCGGGGGTCTGGCCTCTGAGTGAGAGGCCAGGTCGGGGAGGCCCCTCAGTGGACTGGGCGGGAGGTCCAGCAGGGCGAGGCCCGCACGGAGAGTCACTCACTGTCTTCGTTTCTCTCCCTCCTCTCTCTCCTCCTCTCTGCCTTTGCCTTGACCAAAGCAGCTAAGCCCTCTCCTCCGCAGGTTTCCGGCCCCGGCACCAGGGCTAGCCCAGGCCAAAGAGTGAACATCACCTGTACGTCGGCCGGCTTCTTCCCCGGAAACATAAGCATGAGATGGTTTGAAAACGGCACGGAGCTCCCGGCCTTGGAGACTCAAGTCCTGTCGCCGCCAGGTGCCTCTTCCTACAGCGTCACCAGCACCGTGCTGGTGTCCCTGTCCCTCTCCTCCCTCCACTCCCAGATCACCTGCCAGGTGGCCCACAGTGAGCTGCAGAGCCCGCTCCGGGAGCACGTGAACATCTCCCAGTTCCTGCAAGGTAAGCCCCCACCCCCCCAACAGCCACCTCCCACCCCAGGGGCGCATCACCTGCATCCTCCCACTCACTCCCCACAACCCCCAGGGAGGTGGGTGCCAGGGTCCCTGTTCCACACCGCCATCCTCCGCCCACACAACGCCCTGCTCGGGGCCTTTCCTCCCAGAACTCCCTTCCCTCTGGAAGCATCTCTGGGAGGCGGAAGTCCATTCCTACTTTCTGTGGGTGCTTGTTGAGTGACTGCCCCGGTGCTCGGGGAACCCACAGGAAGCACAGCAGGCCTGGCTCTGCCTCGCTGAGTTTGCAGTCACGTGACCCCCGTCAGCCACGACATAAGCGATTCTACAGTGATAGCGTTTGCCAAGAGGGGAAAGAACAGATTGTTGAAACCGAGGGAAATGGGAAATCCAGCTCACTTGGGAAGCGCCTTTTTGTAGAAGTGAAGTTTGAGCTAAGGCATGAAGCCAAGCAAAAAGAAGTGTGTTCAAGATAGAGGAAACGGGGTGTGTGCAAAGGCCCTGTGGTGTGGGGTGGGGTGGGGGTAGAGAGCAAGAAGTGAGGAGGCCAGCATGGGGAGAAGTCGGGTGCTTGGGAGAGGAAGAGGCTGGAGCCAGGGGGATGGAAACCAGATCACACAGAATTTCTAGGCTGCAGCCAGGAGGTTTCTCCCACTCAAGGTCTCCATCTGGTATCCCAACACCATTGTCCTAACCACCATGCCACCATCGCTTTGCTGCCAGTCACTGCCCTTGGGCCATGCTTCCAGAACCCACCCTGGCATCGGGGGAGGGAGCAATGCAAGCTACATGTACCCCCCTCCTAGCTCTGACTGCATGCAGCCGAAGTCCCTGGACTGTGCTGAGCTCAGCTCAGGGCCTCCGCCATGCCCTCCCTGCCCCCACCCGCTCCCAGCGCCCCAACACCCTGCCCGCCCCCAAGCCCTTTCTCGTGTTGTTCCGGCTTTGAGGGCCATGGAACCAATCAGCCCCACGTCTCCTCCCCTGCTCCACGTGCATTCCAGAGCCCACGACGAGCGTGCTCGTGGATTCGGCAGGCTGGGAACTGTGACAGGGCTGAGCAGGGATGGCTTGGCTCTGCCCCCTGACAGCTCGGCCTGAGCTGGACCAGTCAGAGGCTGGGATCCCCCGGGACTCCCATGCCTGGCCCTCGTGCCGGCTGTCAGCTCGGTGGCTGTGTTCCCGGGGAGACAGAGCCAGGCGGAAGCCACACCCACCTCCACGACCCAGCCTCAGCTGTCACCCAGGGCCCTTCCCTGCTACATCCCACTGTCCAAGGCAGCAGAAAGAGGGCCCCTCTGATGGGGAGGGGAGATGTTCTGGAGCATCTGGTGGGCTTGGCGCCCCCCTTTTTGGAGAGTACAATCTACCCCGTGTAGTTAACTCCGGTTCAGCTTCGGAACTTCTGCTCAAAGTTGCTTCCTCCGGAAACCCCGTGATCCTCCAGAGACAGGCGGTACTCTTGTCCGAGGCTTTTGGGGCCCCTGGTCGGGGGGTTGGTGGGGTGGTGACCGCTGTCTCCTCCCTGTGGCCCCCAGCAGAGTGGGAGCTTTGCAAGGCAGGGGCGGCCCCGGCTTTGTTCCCTGCCCTATTCCGAGAGCCAGAGGATGCCTCTAAGGGCATGGGTGTCCCCAAGGGGGTCGTGCCGGAGGAAGGTGACACAGGCAGGGTTGTTGTTCCAGTGGTGCCCACGGTGACCATCTCAGCACACCGCATCCCAGGACTGCAGGCCTCCGTCCTCACCTGCCACGTGCAAGGGTTTTACCCCGAAGACCTGCGCGTCGCCTGGCTGCCGAGGAGCACATGTGTGCAGACCTCCGAGGCTCCGGGCTCCACCCCCAACCCGGACGGCACCTTCAGCAAAGACTGCCACATCCTGGTCAGCGCCTCCGAGCTGCGGGATGACAGGGTCACCTGCCAGGTGGGGCAGGAGGCGCAGGTGCTGGTCCAGGCCAGCCGGCGGCTGAGCGAGGTTGGAGAAGCGCGAGCGAGCATGGGTGAGTGGGAATCCCGAAACCAAGGGACACGCGGGGCCCGTTCAGACGCTGGTTCTGCTCTGCTCGCCATCACTTCCCCTTCCTGAAGCTCAGCTTTCTCATCTGTGAGGTGGGACAGCAGTTACGGCCTCCTCTTCAGAGCATTAGGCTGGAGGTACTAGAGAGCAGTGCGCCCTGCTTCCGTCCCACCGCTGGATCCTGACAACCAGATCCCCCACGAGCCACTAAGTCAGCAGGAAGCACCTTTCCCCTGTTCCCCATCCCCCCAGCCAAAGTCATCCACTCTCGACCGTTACTGAGATTCTCTTGGGTGCTTTGCCTGGGTGCTCTCGTTGGATACAGTTTTCTAAAGTACATGTTATCATCCCCATTTTAAAGACGAGCAAACTGAGGCTCACAGGGATGAAGTGACTCCCTGAGATGCTCGTGGGGCTGAGCCTGCATGCAGGCTGCCTAGGAATCAGGTACATCCTGATCGCTCTCTGCCAGCAGGTGCCGCCGAATTCAGCGCCTCCCTCCTCCTCAGCTGGAAGGTGCTTGCTCTGATTTCACTCTCTGCTGTCTATGCCTACAGGAAGAGCCACCCTTCCAGGTAAGGGCGGAATCAGGTAGGGGTTGAGCTTCCAGGCGCGCTCCCAGTTCCCCTCGACCTTGAAAGGTGATGAATCCCGAGGGTCTCAGAGCTGCCCCCCCCCCCCAGTCCCTTCAGCCCTCCACTCCGCCTCTCACATCTTCCGCCTGAGGATGCCCAGAGATACAGGCTCCCTTGGTCTGGGCAGGAGTCGGAGAGAGGGAGGGAGCGGATGCGAAGACAACCCCTCCAGGTGGTGTTGGAGGGGTCAAGGGCTCTGGGCCAGCTTCCTGCTTCCTCTGCAGGGCACAGGCCTAGGGGTGCAGCCCTCCCCAGAGACGAAGGCCCTGCCCTCCTGTCCCGGTCAGGAGGACCTGCCGCGATGCGTGTAGCTCCACCGCTGGCCCTCCCGGTCTCCCACAGCCCCCATGGGAGGTGACAGCATGAATCGGAAAGGTCAGAGTGAGAGGCGGGCTCGAACGCCCTCCCTGGGAAGGAAGTTTCTGTCAAGACTCATGCCTCTGAGTCCACAAGCTTGACCATGACACCCAGCAGAGGCAAGGCAGGTTCCAACCTGGACACCTTGCTGGCTCCCCAGGAAAAACCATTGTGCCCACCGAAGTTCTGCCATTGAACCTGTGCAGCTCCCTGGCGCCTTTTGCCTTTATTTTTATTATAAAGTGTTGCAGATGGCACAGAAAAATATAAAGAAGAGTTCAACGAGCACACATGGATTTGTAATCTTGCCATATTTGGTTCATGTGCAAGTATGACATGTGCAAACATACTGTGTGTCCTGAAAGCAGGGGTGGAGGCATTAACATTGCACAACCTGGGATCTGTGGCAAAGCCCATAAAGCGAGGCAAGAGGACCACGTCATCGTGTTTGGGGTGTGATTCATGAATATCTGTCCACCAAATAATACGGCAGCCACACATTCTGATTCAGTGTGGCTATTAACTTCCTCATAGGAGAGAAAGCACTTGGTACTTGTCTGCCCGTGTCTGGCTTATTGCACTTAGCATAATGAGCTCCAGCTCACCACTCTGTTGCAAATGTAGGAGTTCTTTCTTTTTATGGCTGAGTCATACACCATCACGTATACAACCCACATTGTCTTTATCCAGTCATCACCTGATGGACATCTAGGTCGATTCCACAGCTGCCCTTGTGAACTGGGCTGCAATAAACATGGGTGTGCAGGGGTCTCTTTCCTGTGCTGGCTTTGTTTCCTCTGCAGTATATTCCCAGAAGTAGGACAGCTGGAGGGTACGGCTGATCTGTTTTTAGGGTTTTGAGGACTCGCCATAGCGTTTTTCCACGATGGCTGCGCTAGTCTGCATTCCCACCAGCAGTGTGTTAGGATCCACTTCTGTCCGCATGCGCACCAGAATCTCTTCTGTTTTCACTTTTTGATAATAGCCATTTTAACTACAGTGAGATGATGCCTCGTGGTGGGTTTTGTTTGTATTTTCCTGATGGCTACAGATCCTGAGCATTTTTTCATGTGTTTAAAGGCCATTTGTATTTCTTTCTTTGAAAAATATCTGTTCAGATCCTTTGCCCATTTATTAACTGGGTTACTTGTCTGTTGCCCTTGAATGTCAAGAGCTCCTGTATGTATGGATATTAATCCTGTATCAGATGCACAGTTTGCCAATATTTTTCCCATTCTGTTGGTCGTCTCTTCCCCCCGTTGATGGTTTCCTTTGCGGTGCAGGAACTTCTTAGTTTGGTATAATTCCACCTGTCTATTTTTGCTTTTATCACCTGTGCTTGTGAGGTCTTTGCCAATGTCTTGGAGTGTTTCCCCTAAGTTTTCCTCTAATAGTTTTGCAGTTTCAGGTCTTACATTTGGAGCTTTGATCCATTTTGAGTTGGCTTTTGTATAGGGTGTAAGGTAGGGGTCGTGCTTCAAACTTCTGCATGTGGAAATCCAGTTTTCTCAACATCATTTGTTGAAAAGATTGTCCTTTCTCCATGGAGTGTTTTAGCACCTTTGTCAAGGATAAGTAGATTTAGATGCATGGATTTATTTCTGGTGTTTCTATTCTGTTCCATTCGTCCACATGTCTATTTTTATGGCTGTACCATGCTGTTTTGGTTAGAATAGCCCTGTAGTATGCCTGGAAATCTGGTATTGTGATACCTCCAGCTTTGTTTTTAATCATTCAAGATTGCTTTGACAATCCTAAATATTTCATGTTTTCATATGAATTGTAGGATCGCTTTTTCTAATTCTGTGAAGAATGTCATTGGTATTTGGATGATGATTGCATTGAATCTATACATCAATTCGGGTAGTATGGGCATTTTGATAATATTGATTCTTCTAATCATGAACAATGGAGGGCTTTTCATTTTTGTCTGTCAGCCCCACAAATGAGATGAAGTTAAAGAAAATACGGCCAGTAAACAAGAAGAGACACCCAAACCCGTCAGGAATCGGAGACATCAGGAAAAGCAAGGGGAAAGCACGCTGAGCGGCCCTTTGTTCCCTGGAAAAGTCCCAGGAGCAGCCGGTCCTGTCCTGCATCGCTGTGGGCACGGAAGGGACCTCATGACTCTGGAACACAGCTTAGCCCTTTGTTGCGTTGAACATTCACACACCTACAACCTGCCATTCCCGCTCTGGGCTTATGCCCCAAAGAAATTCTCGCACATGCGCACCAGGGGATATGTACAAATGCATACATCCCTGGTAGCATTTTAAAATTAGCAAAATTGTTTTAAATTTAAAATTAAATTGTTTAAAATTAGCAAAGCCTGAAAATGACCCATATATGCATATATAGAATGATAGATGATCCATTTACTACAATCACAGAAGGGAATGTTCTAAGGAGGTTAAAAAATGAATGAACCACATGCATGGTAATTCAGACAAATCTTAGCAATAAAATCTTGGTGGGAGGGTAGAAGCCCCAGGAGATGTGTTCCAGAATGATATTCTTTCTGTAAAGCTAAACAGTACACTGTGTTTAGGACTATGCTAAAAACTCATATTTTTTCAAAGGAACAATGAACACAAGATTCCAAATGGCTGTTACCTGGGACGTGGGAAGGCAGCAGGACGAGAAGGTTGGGTGCCTACAGGTAGACGGAAGTTTTTTTTCAGAGTTGTAGCTTCTGTGTCAGGTGGGGGCCTGCAGGAATGTTTATTGTGCTGTAGACAAACAAGTAGACAAGAGAGCAACACTGTAAGAGCTTTGACGTGGGTGCGTAGGGCAAGAGAGGGTGGATGGGCGATTTTAAGCCATTTGTTCTCCATCCCCCCAAATCAGTCCTCAAGCAGGACATGGAGAGTGGCCCAGGCGCCCAGAGAAAAGCGAAGCAAGCAGAGGAGCCCTGGCGTGGGCATGAATGCGCTTTAGCCCTTTGAGGAAGGAGCCCCTGTCCCAGGCAAGCCCAGCCCAGCACTTCCAGATAAATATTTGCTCGTTGCAAAGGTGACGCCTTCATTGACTGCGCACAGATGGCTGAGTGCATACTCCACGTAGACACGGAGCAAACGTGAGTGAGCACTGGTCACGGCGGTCCCTACCTTCAGGGAGAAGAAAGGGAGGCAGTGAGGGCTCGAGGGAGGAGGAAGAATTAAAAATGTGATGAGCGCTCCGAAGAAAATAAAAGTATACGCAAAATAATGGCACTGCAAGGACCCAGCTCTCCACGGGGGTCGGGAACCACGCGGCTGCCAGCTAGGAAGAAGGGCAGAGAAAGCCTTTCTGAACGGCGGGACGCGGAACACTGAAGTTGGTGTCAGGCTTGTACAGAGCTCGAATAAATGCTTGCTTGTTAGAGGAACGTATTGTGCCAAGCCCTACGGTGGGACGGGGCCTGGGAGGTTCCAGGGCAGGAAGGGGACAGTGGGGCTGGGTCTGAGCAGTGGGACAAAGGGCAGCGCTGGCGTGATGGGCGGGAGCCGGAGAGATCCTGGAACGGAAGTCGTTAGAGACTTGGTCCAGCACAAATCGCAAGATGCTCGGATGTTTAGAAATCGCCCTGACTCCTGTGCAGTAGGGAGATGAGAGGAAAGCCAGGCCCTGAGCCAGGAGGCGGGACGGGAGCCACAGAGGTGCGGGTGAGGATGTGTGGTGACGAGGACTTAAAGGGAGGGAGGGTAGGGGAGACCCTGAACATGGCCACGGAGCCTCGCGTGGGGACTGAACTGGAACGGTCACGGGCAGGATGGATTGCGCGATAGAGAAGAGAGGGAAACAGGTGGAACAGGTGGAAGAAGCAGTCGGTGGTGGGAATTCACAGCTCAGTTCTGAGCGTTAAATATAGCGCGTGTTCGTCATCCAGGGGCCAAGTGGAGCAGGCAGAGGGACAGACGTCCGGGGTTCAGGAGCGGGGTCGGAGCAGGAGAGATATTTCTGGAGCCACTGGGGCTATGCTGCTGGTTGCCAGGGCAGCCAGGCAGCGGAACTAAAGCATCCAGATCCTCCGTTTCCACCCGCCAGGCCGCCCGGAGCGCTGGGCCACAAGGCAGCTCCGGGCTGCGGTACAGCACCGGTTCCCACGCAGGCCTGGCGCGGAAAGGGAACAGAAAGATGAAATGCGCGTGTCTGTCAGGATGGCGGGATTGTATAACACTTTTCATTTGCATATCAACAAATCAGTTTTAAATGTGGTCTGAATTACTGGGAATCTGCTACCTGCCTGGGCTGGGAACGTCCCGCTGGTTCCCTGTCCCGTCCTCCTGGCGCCCCCTCGTGGTTCTCAGTGGCCTTACTGGAGACTGGAGAGGCCCAGCACGAGTGACACGGAAATCACACCGCGATGGCCGCACAGCCCCTGAGAGGCGCTGCCTTTTGGGGCACGGCCGACCTGAGCGGGAAAGGCTTTTGTACCCTGAACAGATTAGGTGATGGGATCAAAATAAAACAATGCAACGCTCAGGCCACCATGCATTCCAGGGAGGCAGACAGCCCTACGCATAGATTGTTTCCCATAATCTGATTCCTGTTTTAAGCGCTCTCTCCGTGGACTTAATCTCCTCCATGACATCAGTGCATACAGACATGGGAGGCCCAGCCCCGTGGGCAGCCCTTGACCGTGGGTCCCCACAAGTGCCCCTAGCATCGATGCTCTGGCGCCCCAAGAAACTCTGCAAGGAGACCTGAGCCATTCCCAGCTCAGCTCTTCCGTTCCCGGGCCAGGCTGGGACGCCGAGAGCTGGGTCAGCAGGAAGGATATCCTCCTGACTCTCTTGTCCCTCCGAATTTGACCTGGGTTTGGGGGAGCAGGTCGTAGGGTTCTTCCCGGAGGCCCAGTGTTGGCTCCCTCCCTGTCCCCTCCACTCTCACATACATCAGAGGCGGGGAGTGTTGTCTAATCCCAGCAGGTGACAGGGTGGGGGCAGCTGGGGGGAGTGATAGGAAGGGACATGTTCTGCAAGAGCCCATTTAAAAAAAAAAAAAGATGTATTTTACTTAGGGGGAGGGAGAGAGAGAGAGAGAGAGAGAGAGAGAGACTTCCATCTGCTGGTTCACTCCCCCAAAAGACCACAGCGGCCAGAGCTGGGCCAATCTGAAGCCAGGAGGCAGGAGGCAGGAGCTTCTTCCAGGTCTCCCACGCAGAGCCCATTTTTTTTTAATTTTATTTATGGATTTATTTCTTTGAAAGAGTTACAGAGAGAGAGAACCTGGCTCTGATCAGGAGGAGGTGCCAGAACAATCCAGATGAGGGACATTCTACACAAGAACTGGCCTGCCCTCTGCGAAGTCCCAGTGTCGTAAAGGGAGGAGAAACTGTGCCGGGTTACAGGCACCTACGCGACCCGGCAGTGAAGCACAACGGGGTCCGCTGTAAGATGCGCGTGTGGGGCAGTGGCAAAGCCCGAGGGAGGCTGCGGCCAGGCCGCTGGTGGCGCACACCTGGTTGGGTGATGCTGTGGCCGTGCGGCAGGATCGCCCTGGCTGCGGAAACACGCACTGAAATGTTTGGCCCCGGGGCCGGGTTTGGCGTAAGGGTGAGGCTGCCACTCAGGACGCCCTCGTCCCATATCGGGTGCCTGGGTTCCAGCCCCAGCTCTGCTTCCGACTCCAGCTTCCTGCTAATGCACATCCTGGGAGGCAGCAGGTGATGAGGGTTCCAGGGCCACCCACACAGGCAGTCAGGATGGAGCTCCTGGCTTCCGGCGTTGGCCGGGCCCAGTCCTGGCTGTTGTAGACCTTTGGGGACTGAACCAGTTAATGGAAGCTCGCTCTCTCTCTCTCTCTGCTTTTCCAATCAACTAAATAGATACATTTCAAAAATAAAACATTCAGACCATTTGGGCTGCTTTATGAAAAACATGTACCTTAGATAGGTCATCTGGAAGCAGCAGAAACTTGGCTCTCCTGGTCTGGGGGTTTTGCTGGAAACTGGCAGTTGAGGCCGTGGCCGGTTCACTGGCGAGAGGTTGCTCTCCGCTCCCACCGCGGCGCCTGCTCCCACATCCTCCATGGCAGCAGGCAGCCGGGAAAGCCCAACAAGCCTCTTTCCTAGAAGGCATTAATGCCATTTATGAAGCTATTAGTTACTCAATCACCTCCCTAAGACACTGCCTGACCACCACCACCGTGGCTGCCGGCTTTCACTCTCACATTTGAGCGGCTGCTAACATTCAGGCGACGACAAGGGACGTAAAAGGCAACACGCGCGCAATTCACTCACAGGTGTTTCTACAGAGTTCTTCGTCCCATGCTTGCAAATTTCCCCTAAGACTGAGATCATTTTCAAACATTTTTTAATTAAGTGACACTCAGGTATCATGAAGCAAATTACCTCTGTTGAGAATGAACAGACAGCTAACACATATTGAGAGGTTACTGCAAGCCAGACGCGGTCTGATTGCCTCACTTTCATTTTGCAACAACTGGATGAGACATACCCTGCCCTATAATTATGTTCACTTTGCAAATGAGGAAACTCACTCACACGCACACACTCATTAACCTGCCTGGAGTCGCACAGCCGCTAAGAGCCTGACTGGGATTTGAACCCGGGCAGCCTGGCTCAACCTCCCTGCTCCTCGCCGTGATGTTCCTGTCCAGTCCTGCGGCTTTAGGTACCATTGAAAAGTAGCCCCAGGAAGCTTCCATTTCTCTCTCCTCTCGCTTGAATCTCATTTCCAACTGCCTGCTCCGTAGCTCCACGTGGACACCCAGTAATGTCTCAAGGTCAACATTCCAAAATCTGACCCTCTGCCCATCCTCCCCCAGATCTGCTCCCCCACTGACTGTCCTGCTTCCCCCGGTTATCAGGGTCGAAAACCCAAGAGGCACCTTTGACGCCTCTCCTCTGCCTCCTCACCTCCCTTCTCTCAGGAAATAATTCCACTTTAAAATACATCCATGGGGCCAGCGCTGCGGCATAGTGGGTAAAGCCGCCGCCTGCAGTGCCAGCATCCTATAGGGGCGCCGGATTGAGTTCTGGATGCTCCATTTCCAATCCAGCTCTCTGCTAATGTGCCTGGGAAGGCAGCAGCAGATGGCCCAAGTCCTTGGGCTCCTGCACCCACGTGAGAGACCTGGGAGAGGCTCTTGGCTTTGGATCGGTGCAGCTCCGGCCATTGTAGCCATTTGGGGAGTGAACTAGCAGATAAAAGTCTCTCTCTCTCTCTCTCCCTCCCTCCCTCCCTCCCTCTCTGTAACTCTGCTTTTCAAATAAATAAATAAATAAATCTTTAAAAAAAAAATAAAATACATCCGTAATCTGATCACTCCTCACCACACCCCCGCCAAGAGTCCCCCTCCATCCTCGCTTTCCCAGATGGCAGCAATGAGCTCCTTGTTGGTCTCCTTTGTTCACCTTTCTCCTTCTCAGTATAGCCAAGGGAAGAAGACTTTAAAAAAAAAAAAAAAACTACTTAATTATTTGAAAGGGGGGGAGAGAGAGAGAGAGACAGACAGAGTGCTCTCCAATCTTCACTCCCCAAATGCCTGCAATGACCAAGACTGGACAGGGCCACAGCTGGCAGCTGTGAACTCAGCCCAAGTCTCCCACGTGGGTGGCAGGGATCCAAGCACCTGAGCCGTCACGGTTGCCCCCAAAATCAGTATCAGCAGGAAGCTAGAGTCAGGAGCCAGAACTGGGATTTGAACCCAGACCCTCCAACATGGGATGCAGACATCATGACGGGTAGGCTCACTGCCCACCCCAGCTCCTTTTCAATGAGACAAGTGCTGTCCTCCTCTGCTCAAAACCTTGCTACAGCTACTCAGCTTGCTGCAAGGTCAAGACCTTGCCTCAGCCCCCGGCCCTCACCACCGCCTGCCCCACCCTCCTGAACCTGCTCCGTGTTCTCCGTAGGCCGTGCCGCATCGTTTACTTCTTTGCTTTACTTGTTACGCATTTTGCATGGCCTGTCTCCCCCACTGGAATGCAAATTCCGGTTGACAAGGGTGGTGAGCTTTGTCTGCTTGCTCTCCCTGAGAACAGTGCCCAGCGCGTGGTGGGTGGGTGGTCAGTATTTGCTGAATGGATGAGCGACTGCCCCCTGGAATGTCTCGTGTTGCAATAAGAGCAGGATGACTGGAGAGCAGAGGACAGGAAGGGAGGACCAAGGGCTGCAGCGAGAGCGCCTGGTCCTGCCAGCCCAGAAGCCGCGCCCACAGTCCTCGAGGGCGTGCCCCGGTGTGACAGCAGCATGCTGCGGGGAGCAGTGGTCGGAACTGGACAGCAAGCAGCGGGATCTGAGGTGGTTCTGGGCTCATCCGTGGCTGTCATTTCCCTGGTGGCTGAAAGACACGTCCTGTGCTGTGGAGGAGTTGTCACACGCTGTCCCCAGGTTCCCTGGACGAAGGTGGGAGGAAGCAGCAGCCGTTTGTGACAGGACTGAAACCCCTCTCTGTCCAGGCACTCTCTTGCCCTCTCCCCTCCCTTCTTAGGATAGAGCTTCCGGTGATCAGAGCGTGCAGCCCCGGGGCACCATGCTGGCCACCTCCAGCCCACCGACACCAGTGTCCCCTAGCCACCTCGTGAGGAGGATGAGGGGCCAAACAGGCTTGCTGGGGAGCTGAACCCAGAGGCCACACACGCAATGGCCCGAGCCAGGAAGGAGGGTCCACAGGGAACAACACGGCCTTTCCCAATCCCTATCCGGGTCAAGTTCACCCAGCCCTCCTGAACACTGCCCCTTCGTGTTCCTGTTTCCATACAACGTCCAGGGCGAGCTGGACTCAGTGAGGGTCCAGGAGAAAGCTGCTGCCCCCTCCTCAGCACGGCCCCGTCAGATAAGCCACATGGGCCGTCCTGAGAGGCAACAAGCCCCCCTGTGGGAAAGTGCGCTTTACGCCACGTGGGGCTGGGCGAGAGTGGGCTGCTTGGCCGTTCCCACCTTGCCCCTCCGTTCTTCCTCTCGCTGCTCTCTCTGGCTCCCGTGAGATGGGGGCAGAGGAAAGGGGAGGGAGAAGGGGTTCCTCACCCATTTTTCCTTCCCCCTCTCCTGAGGCGATTTGCAAGTCACGTGCAATTCTAGCAGCACTTTTGTGAGCCTCCCAGAGGCGTCCCACAGGGGATGTCCAAGCAGCTGGCTAGTGCCCCAGCCTCCTCTTGTCTAGGTGTGCCACAGTGCAAATGCCCTGGCAACACACGGCAGACTGGCTGAGGGGCCCCCGAAAGCCCCCCGGTTGGCCCAGGGTGGGGCAAAGGTCCTCCTCCGTGCCCGAGCATCTTTATCGCGTGAGCTTTAAGGAAGTCCCACTCCCTGGCGTCCCCCTGGTCCACCATCCAGCCCCCTCTGATTGCATCAGTGCAGGTGTCGGGCTGTCGCCAGCAGAACTGGCCCTCCGCCACCCCTTTTGTACTTCCTGTGCAGCTGCTCCAGCTCCTTCATTTCCCGGGGTGCTTGGCAGTTCTCATGGCCAGCTGGGGAGCCCCAGGTAGGCAGCCTCATCTAGCATCCTGTTGTAAAACTTTGCATTCGGTACTAATGGCACGCCTGGAACCGCTTGTGGTGTTCTTAATCCTCATAAACATACAGAAGATCGATATTATTATACCATTTGTAGAGAGCAGAAAGCTAACGCTGGGAGAAATTCATGACCTACACACATTCATGACAACTCGGACTTTTTTTTTTTTTTTCATTCCAAGATGTGAACTTAACAATAGTGCAGGGATCAGTTGCTTTTGTGAGAAATCCAGAAACCAGTGGAAAGGTTCCTGCACGCCGTGAGTTTAAAGCCAACCGAACCGAGGTCCCATAGGAAAAGTCCTGGCTTGCGCTTGTTAGAGCGCCTCCTCCTGGCAGAGAGCAGAATGCGTGGGAGGAAAATCAGAAGTCCTGACTTCTCCCGGGGGATCAGAGGGAGTGCAACATCTGTCTGATGTTCAAACTTTTGGAGATTCTTCCTGGAAGACTGATTTCTGTCATACCTGTACCGAAGCAGTGACAGAAGTGTAGGCCAAGTTTGGGACCCATGAAAACAAAAATGTTCAGTAAAGGCTTGGACTAGCCCCAGAGCCTGCAGTATCACAGATGGACACGAGGCGGAGCTCCAGTACCGCAGTTGACTTCGGTTCCCGTGACCCCCCCCCCACCAACAATATCGCAGACCTACCACCAGAGGGAGCTCCTGCCTAGAAAATGGAAAGCTTCGCTTGGGCGTGCACGTCCGCAAGCAAGAGGATGCATCCCCAGAAAGGATTCAGCAGAATTCTCCAGCCAGGCTGAGCTAGCTGACAGGACAGGAACTGCGGCCGCAGGGCTGCCAGCCCGCGCTCATCTGGGACGCGGCTTAACCTGCGCCAGCCCAGTTTCTTCATTCGTTTCCTCCTCTGCCTCAGTCATTACAAAAGTCGTCTTTAAACCTGCTGAGTCTGTTTTCTGTCTCATCAAGTCTGCAGCTGGGAGGCTCCCCGGGAAGTTTAGATCAGTTACAGGAAGTGAAGATGCCACACACACGGATTTTTGCACAATCTGACTCTGCTACATTTGAGCCCCAGAAAACAGAGGTTCGGAGAGTTGCCCCTCATTGCACATCCAGGAATGGGGCTGAGCCCTCCCTGCCCTGCAGAAAGAGGCCTCCGTGGGGCTTGCTTTGTAACAAATCCCTTCTACACGAGTGTCTCCTCCCCAGGTTCCTGCAGATAGGAACAGTGATGGCTGGTGCGCAAACATCATCTCCGGTAATCCTCCCGATGTCTTTCTGAGGAGGGGATCGCTACTGTTTCCATTTCACAGATGAGAAAGCAAAGGCTCAGAGGCGATTAGCAACTTGGAAATCTCACACCGCCGGAGAGAGGCCCAGCCCAGCATCTGATCCCGAGTCCGACTCCAGCGTGCACCTGTGCTCGGCTCCTTCTCAGGCACCCAGGATGGAGCTTTGGCAAGGGCTCTAGGTTTGGACACAGCAATTACGGGAACCCTGGCCTGGACGAGGAAGCCAAAAACCCGTGGACCAGCTCCTTCCTCTTTGCACCATCAGCCTCGCCTTGCCACAGTCAAAACACTTCCCCAAGTAGCCGTGGCCAAGCCAGCAGGAACAGCCTGGAACACCAGCCCCACCTCGCACTCCAGCGCCACCCAGGGAGAGGATCGCCTGCGAGTCCTGGGCTGCAGCAGGTGCTTCGTGCCCCTGGCAATGCCCAGAGCCACGCACCTGACCTGCTCACCCCCTTGCTCCCTGCTGCTGCTGCAGCTCCTCGTCCTCTCAGGTAAGCGGGATTTGGGACAGAATCGGGCTCTCCCTGGGCTGGTCCCAGAGAAGGGTGCCATGGGCACTGCATACCAGAATGGGGGGCAAGAGGGCGGCTGCTGAGAACTCTCCTGGCCCCAACAGGGAGCCTGCGCCCAGGGAAGCAGAGCTCCTTCCTCATAAATGCTTTTAGCTTTTCTAAAACCGCTTTATTGAGATGCAACTGACATTCAGTAAGGACTGCATCTGGAAGGTATCAGCTGATGGATGTTGTGGGCGTTAACAGGCTGTGAAAAGACCCCCAGAACCAAGATGCCGCCACATGGGGCGCCCACACACGTCTCCGTGGGACCCAGCCTTCCCACTCCTCCTCGCCCCAGGTCCCCCAGCAGCCACTCACCTGCTCTCTGTCACTTGGTTAGCATTGTCCAGACCTGTCCGTCACCGGGGCTTGTGCAGTCGGTTGTACTCCTATCTGTCTGGCTTCTTCCGCTTGGCATAACGGGAGACGTGCTTGTGTTGCACATTTCCAAAGTCCTTTCTTCCCACGCCTGCTTGTCGAGTGGATAAACTACTTGGTTCTTCTGTTCTCCGGCTGACGTGTGGGTTGATGGCACGGGGACTGTCACGCACGAATGCTAGATCAGCATTCAAGGGCAGGTCTCCGTGTGGACATATGCTTCCTTTTCTCTCAGGGAATTCGAAGGGCGGCTCTCGCAGCAGGCACATTTTTTACTTTCTAAGACACAGCTCCAAAGCAGTTGTACCGCTGCCCGTTCTCACGGGGAGAGTGTGCGGAGGGCGGCTCCTCCACCCCCTCCTTACCCGTCGCTGGGCTGTCTTCTTCATGTCAGTCATTCTGATAGGTGTGGTTGGTTTCGAGCTGTGTTTCCCTAGCATGTCATAAAGCTGAGTATCTTCCTCATTCACCCTTTCTAGTGAAGTATTTAAAAGTTATTTATCTGAAAGTCAAAGTTACACAGAGAGAGGTAGAGCAAAGAGAGGTCTTCCATCCACTGGTTCACTCCCCAGATGGCCGTAATGGCCCAGGGCTGGGCCAAGAAGGAGCCAGGAGCTTCTTTCAGGTTTCCCATGTGGGCAGCAGGGGCCCAAGCATTTGAGCCATCTTCCACGGCTTCCCCAGGCCATTTAGCAGGGAGCTGCATCGGAAGTGGAGCGACCAGGACTCAAACCAGCGTCCGTATGGAATGCCGGCCTCACTGGCCTCACAGGCAGTGGCTTTACCCTCTACACCACAGCACCAGCCCCTGTACTCTCACTTTTTAAGTGTTGTTATTCCTGTGTTATGAGTTCTGTATATATTCTAGATACTAAACCACCATGAGATGTATGCTTTGCAAAGGTTTTCTCCCGCTTTGTGGTTGTCTTCTCATTCTTTTACAAGTGGCTTTTGGAACAGGAGTTCTTCATTTCCATGAAGTCCTGTTTATCAAGTTTTTTCTTTTTATGGATCATGCCTTTGGTGTTGTATCTAAGACATCATTGCCCAACCCAAAGTTACAAATGTTTTTCCTTGGGGCCAGCACTGTGGCACAGCGGGTTAAAGCCCTGGCCTGAAGTGCCGGCATCCCATATGGGCTCAGTTCTAGTCCTGACTGCTCCTCTTCCTATCCACTCTCTGCTATGGCCTGGAAGAGCAGTAGAAGATGGCCCAAGTCTTTGGGCCCCTGCACCCAGGTGGGAGACCTGGAAGAAGCTCCTGGCTCCTAGCTTCACATCAGATCAGCTCAGCTCCGGCCGTTGCGGCCATCTGGGGAGTGAACCAGCGAATGGAAGACCTCTCTCTCTCTCTCTCTCTCTCTCTCTCTCTACCTCTCTCTGTAACTCTGTCTTTCAAATAAATAAAATAAATCTTTTAAAAAAAAACATTTTTTTCTTTGTTTTCATCCAGAAGTTGTAGCATTTCACATTTTATCCTAGTTCTCCAATCCATTTTGAGTTGATTTTTGTTTGTGTTCTAAATGTGAATCAAAGTTTTGTCAGCATGTGAATTTCCAATTATCCTAGCACCTTGTTACAAGACCCTCCTTCACCACTGAATGATCTTTGCACCTTTGTCAAAAATTGTCGGCCGGCGCCGCGGCTCACTAGGCTAATCCTCCGCCTAGCGGCGCCGGCACACCGGGTTCTAGTCCCGGTCGGGGCGCCGGATTCTGTCCCGGTTGCCCCTCTTCCAGGCCAGCTCTCTGCTGTGGCCAGGGAGTGCAGTGGAGGATGGCCCAGGTGCTTGGGCCCTGCACCCCATGGGAGACCAGGAAAAGCACCTGGCTCCTGGCTCCTGCCATCGGATCAGCGCGGTGTGCCGGCCGCAGCGCGCTGGCCGCGGCGGCCATTGGAGGGTGAACCAACGGCAAAGGAAGACCTTTCTCTCTGTCTCTCTCTCTCACTGTCCACTCTGCCTGTCAAAAAAAATAAATAAATAAATAAATAAATAAAATAAAAAAAAAATAAAAATTGTCTGTATGTGCACTGACTATTTCTACACTCAGTTAGCTATTTCGACACTCAATTCACGTCCACGGACGCGCCCATCTTGGTGTAACTCCCACTCCCGGACGCGCCCATCTTGCTGTAACTCCCACTCCCTCTTGATGACGGTAGCTGCGTAAGGCTTGAACTCACTGGCATTACTTCTCCAACTCTGCTCTTTGTCAAACTGTTTTGACTCAAGTTTTCTGGCACCCTGTGAAAGAGCAGAAGCGAGATCAGGCCCTCTCATCTAGTGCCCGATCTGGCCGAGAAAAACACTCCCTCTCTTGGCGTGGAGTGTGCTCTTTATTCCAGCATCCTTACAGCTGTCGTTGGCAGCCTGATGGAGTTTCCCCATGTTTCGCGTTGTTGGAGGTTATTATCAGGGAGAGATGTGGGATTTTATCAACTGCCTTTCCCATGTCTATGTAGATGTTCATATAGGTGTGCAGTGTGCCTATGTATGTGTGTGTGTTAGTTAAGTAATACGGTGATTGACTTTTGGAATGTTAAATGAACTTCCGATTCTAATTAGGGATAAACTCAATTTGGGCACGATGTATTCTATTTTTATCTATTGCTGCATTCGATTGGCTAAGTTTTTGTTCAGAAATTTTGCTGCTTTGTTCAAGAGGGGCATCGCTTTCCTTTTCTTGCCAGGATTTTGTGTGAAGGTAACACTGGGCTCACGGCCTAAGTCAGGGTGTGCCCTGCTTTTCCATCATCTGGAAGTATTTCTATGAAATTGGCATGACTACTTTCTTAAGTGGATGGTAGAAGTCATTACTACAGGCAGCTGGAGTCAGAGTTTTCTTTCTGGGAAGGTTTCTTGGTTTTGTTGTTGTTGTTGTTAACTGCTCCGGGCAATGAAAGGGACGCTTTCTGGAGGCCGCCCTGTGCGGGCGGGGCCTCTTTGACCTCCTTCTCAGGGCGCAGGTTGTCGGTGTGGCCGCATGTCTTCTTGGGGCATGAGGGCGCCGGGGCGCAGGCGAGCGTGGCACCTGCGGCGGATCCTGTTGCAGTCCTGCGAGCTGGCAGAGGGAGGGCTCGATGACGCCACCTCGCGGGCAGAGCAGCAAGTGCAGGGCGACCTCTGACAGCTAGGCGGTCCTCCGGCTGTTTGCCCGCCAAAACCAGACGCTGCGGGTCGGGTGGGACCCCTCCTCGACTTGGCTTTCGGCTTGGACATTCTCGATGGTGTCGCTGGGCTCGACCTCAGGGGTGATGGTCTTGCCCGTCAGGGTCTTCACAAAGACTGCATCTCACCTAGTTGACATGAAAGACCTCTGGGGAGGTTTTTAATAATGACCTGAAAATTAACAAGTAATAGGACAATTCAGGTTATCTATTTCTTCTTAAGGTAGCTTTGGCAGTTTGGACTTTTCAAGAATTTATCAAATACAGGGCTGGTGCTGTGTGCAGTGGGCTGAGCCACCTCCTGCAGTGCCAGCATCCCATTTGGGTGCCAGTTCAAGTCTCGGCTGCTCCACTTCCGATCCAGCTCTCTGCTATGGCCTGGGAAAGCAGTGGAAGATGGCCTAAGTGCTTGGGCCCTTGTGCCCATGTGGGAGACCCTGGAAGTTCCTGGCTTCTTACCAGCTCAGCTCCAGCCAACGTGGCCATTTGGGGAGTGAACCAGCAGAGGGAAGATCTCTTTCTTTGTCTGTCTCTACCTCTCTGTGTCTGTAACTCTGCCTTTCAAGTAAATAAATAGAATCTTTTAAAAAAAATTTGTTGCCGGCACCACAGCTCAATAGGCTAATCCTCCACCTGCAGCGCCGGCACCCCGGGTTCTAGTCCCAGTCAGGGCGCTGGATTCTGTCCCGGTTGTCCCTCTTCCAGTCCAGCTCTCTGCTGTAGCCCGGGAGTGCAGTGGAGGATGGCCCAAGTCCTTGGGCCCTGCACCCCATGGGAGACCAGGATAAGCACCTGGCTCCTGGCTCCTGCCATCGGATCAGCGCAGTGCGCTGGCCACAGCACGCCGGCCACAGCGGCCATTAGAGGGTGAACCAACAGCAAAGGAAGACCTTTCTCTCTGTATCCCTCTCTCACTGTCCAATCTGCCTGTCAAAAAAAAATTAAAAATTAAAAATTTGTCAAATACATATAGCCATGAAGTTGCTCATAATAATCCTTTATACTTGTAATATCTGTTGTGTCTGTAGTGTTGTCACCTCTGCCCTTGACTTTAGAGACCGAAATTCTCTCTCTCTCTCTCCACAACCCCATGTAGAAGACCCTCCACGGGAGCTTTCACTCTCTCTCGGCACCCACCCTGAGACCAGACTCTTCACAGGCAGACCCACTTCACACATGGGCGAGCACTGCTGTTGGCTGAGTTCACACAGGGCAGGAGAGTCTAACAACTCCACAGCACACAAACCACAGCTGCCCAGCTGGGGGTGAGGAGGGAAAGCAGAGGCCTCAGACACAGGCAGCCAGGCTCTGACGCCAGCCCTGCCGTGCTCTCCTAGCTGGGTGCTGTTTGAACCAGCTCAGGTTTCTGTGACAAAGTCTCACAGCCGAAGCACATCTCTCACAGCTCTGGAGGCTGGGAGGTCATGCTCGGGGTGCCGGCAGCACTGGTCTCTCTGCAGCCTCCCTCCCTGGCTTGTAGACAGCCGCCTCCCTTTGTGGCTTCCCTCTGTCTGTAGCTGCCCCCATTCCCTCTTCGAAGGGTATCCATCAGATGGGATCATCTCAACGTACTGACAGCTTTACAGACCCTGTGTCCAAATGCAGTCCCACTCCATGGTGCTGGGGGGAGGACTTCAACACAGACATTTGGGCTGGGGCCAGAGGAAGGCACAAGTCAACCCCAGCTCATCTGGGCCTCTAGTTTCCACCGTCCTTGAATGGGGTCAATGGTCCCGCCTCGCAGGAGCATCATGGGCACCAGTGAGGTACCGCACGCAGAGCCCAGCACGTGGGGAGCACTGGAGTTCCCACTGGCCTCTGCAGGTGTTGCAGCCCACACTCTGTTCTCTCTGCAGCCAGCCACTCAGGCCCTCCTCCCCTTTCCAGCAATACCCCTTTCTTGTGCTGGGCGATTCCCCTTGGCTAGACAATGGTTAGGTTGCATTAAGCTTGCCTTTGAGGGCTCCGCGTCCTTCCCACCCAACCGATGACCTTTCTTCCTCTGTCATAGGCGCCTGTGCACAGAGCAAGGGGAGTGAGTGGCAGGTGCTGCAGCCCGAGGGCCCCATGCTGGTGGCAGAAGGTGGGCGCCTGCTGCTGAGGTGCGTGGTGCTGGGCTCCTGCGTTGGCAATATGATCAAATGGGTCAAGGTGAGCTCTCATGACCAACAAGACGTTTATAACTTCAAACATGGCTCCTTCCCTGGGGTGACGCCCTTGACCCAGCAGACACCAGGGCCACTCGATTGCGATTATTCCATCTACATCCACAACGTCACCAGGGAGCACACCGGGACCTACCACTGCGTCGGGGTGGACAGCTTGGGTGAGCGCTCAGAAAAGCAGCTGGAGGAGGGCACGTCCGTGCGTGTGAGGGGTGAGTCTCAGGCCCTGCCACTTACACGCTCGCTCTCACCCGGCTCCCGGCTCGGTCCCCTGTATGCACCAGCACACAGCACCACACCAAACACCAGTGAGCCAGATCTCCATCTCACTCTCGTGTCTCCTGGTGTCTGAGGTTGTTCTGTTCCCCGTGTGTCATGCCAGGTCCCAGGCAAGAGAGGTAGCAGCTACTTGGGGTATGTTTTTTTCCTCCAGGGAGTGGCAGAAGGGTAAGAGGTCCAGTCAGTGACCCCAGCACATCTCAGGGCCCTGTCACAGGGCTTTCTGACAGCACTCTGGGCAAAACAAGTCACAAGACAGCTCGGAGTCAGGGGGGAGGGATGTGCAGTCCTCCCTCAGGAGGCTGTGACGGGAGTGTGGATGTGACACACTGTGCTAGGAGGTGTCCGCACCTGGAGCCGACTATGTAGTCGATCCACTCCCCGCAGAATCAGTCACAGTACCTGTGATTCCACCACCAGAGACCCAGACTCCCAAATTCTGCGTCTGTCCCTCGGCGGCATCGTGTCCTAAAGTCGGTCACGGAGGCTTGCAGGCTTCAGGAGCTTAACTTGCAGAATGGGCCCCAGGTCCGTCCCCAGGGGCCACTCGGATGATCCGGTGCGAGCAGGGAGCCCATCTGCTCCTGGCTCAGAGAGCAGGTGTTGGGGGTGGGGTCACACTGGCTCAGACAGCGTGTGTTGGGGGTGGGGTCATGCTGGTTCAGACAGTGGGTGCTGGGGGTGGGGTCACACTGACTCCACACCACCCTTTCAGGAAGGCTCCTCTAGCTCCCTCCCAGCCGCCGTGGGGCCTCCTCTGGGGTCCTGCTCTCCTCCGGGTTTCCCGTCTCAGGCCAATTCACTCACTGTGTCCAGCACCACATGGAGAGTGACTTCAGGGCAGGTGTTCATGTGTCTCTCTGAGCTCTGTCTTTCTCAGTCCCAGCATGGGTACAGAGCAGGAATTCAGCAGGTGCATAATGGAGGAGCTGGGAGGAGGTGGGGTACTGAACACAGAAGTCAAGGATCAGGAAGGAATTGAGGGAGGAAGTGGGTGGGCGACGGAGGAGGACGGGGACCTAACAAGGACTCTCTCTTTGGCTTCAGGCACCAGGGACCCTAAGCCAGATCTCTGGCTCATCCAGCCCCAGGAGCTGGTGTTGGTGGCCCCGGGAGACAACGCCTTCCTGAACTGCACGGCACTTGGAGATGGCCCCCCTGGCCCCATGAGGTGGTTCCGGGGGGCTGGTCTGAGCCGGGAGGCCATCTACAACTTCCAGGGCATCTCCCACCCCAACATCACCGCCGTGCGGGCCTCCAATAATGACTTCAGCATCCTGCTGCAAGGTGTCTCCACTGAGCAGGCGGGCACCTACTACTGTGTCAAGTTTCAGAGGAAACCCAACCGCCAGTACCTGTCGGGGCCGGGCACCAGGCTGAGAGTGAAAGGTGGTGTGGGTGTCCAGGACGTGTTGGGGAGGGGGCGGATGGTCCACAGGCAACTCTTCCTCGTGTCCCAAAGAAGCCAGATCTTCCCCCTACCAGGAATCCTTTCCCCTTTACTCCGGAGAACTCCTAATCATCTTTTAAGACCCAACACAGGCCGGCGCCATGGCTCAATAAGCTAATCCTCCGCCTTGCGGTGCCGGCACACCGGGTTCTAGTCCCGGCCGGGGTGCCAGATTCTGTCCCGGTTGCCCCTCTTCCAGGCCAGCTCTCTGCTGTGGCCCGGGAGTGCAGTGGAGGATGGCCCAAGTGCCTGGGCCCTGCACCCCATGGGAGACCAGGAGAAGCACCTGGCTCCTGGCTTCGGATCAGCACGATGCGCCGGCCGCAGCGCGCCGGCCGCGGCGGCCATTGGAGAGTGAACCAACGGCAAAAGGAAGACCTTTCTCTCTGTCTCTCTCTCTCTCACTGTCCACTCTGCCTGTCAAAAAAAAAAAAAAAAAGCTATAAAAAAAAAAAAAGACCCAACACAAATAGCCCCTCCTCTGTGAAACCATGAAGAGGTCACCACTCCCCATTCGGGCCTCCACAGAACTTCATTGAGAATTCAACACGGGTCTGTCGCGTGCTTGCTGAGTGCTTTTCCCTGTGCCAAGTGCCTGGGAGACTGCGCTGAATCAGATACTTGCTATGCCCCAGAGGTCTGACTAGTCCTCCCTAGCCACAGGGTTTGACTCGTAGCCCCCACCCCCACCCCCACGCCGCCCAGGGTGGGAACTGGCGGACTTGTGTGGGTGGCATGTGCTCCCAGCACAGAGCTCAGGAGGTGGCAGAGGGAAGGGGAAGGATGAGCAAGCTTCTCTCCCTTGCAGCAGAACCCACCGCTCCTGAAGACGCAGAATTGAACAGAGGACGTGCAGTGCGGGAAGCTCCGATGGGTGAGTGTGCCTGCCCCAGGGGGAGTTCACAGACCCCTCAGATGGGAGACCACGGAGAGCTTGGCCGTGGGAAGGGAATGGCCCCAGACTCCTGGGGCTCGTCTGCCACCCAGAAAGTTCCCAGGGCCCCATCTCAGCTGCACAACAGGAACCAAGAGAACGGCGGTGTAAGGGCTTGGTCCAAGAGGCGGTTCTGACAGCCAGCACCGTCTCACTGTTCAGTGGGCGGTCTTGCATGAGTGCCTGTGATTGACAGTTCTGTGCCCCAGTGGTGAAGAACGTGGCTGTGTGGCCAGGCCTCCCGGATGCTGTGTGATTGCGGGCGGTGGCCTTGCTCCATGAATCTCTGATGTCCAACTCCGTGAAGGAAGGGAGACAGGGACAAGAATCCAAGAGCCTACCTCATGGGGCTGCCGCCAGCCAAGCACCGGGGACTGGCCTGACACGGTGTCTGTTACCAGTCCTGGGCACTCTGTGTCTGTGGGCACACGGCAACCAGGTGGCCCGATTAGTCCCCCTGATGCTCAGCACTGCTCCTGCATTCGTGGGACCAGCCGGGGCCCCTCACGTCCTTCACACAGGTGGCCCTGAGCAAATCTCTTCCCCTCTAGATATGTGTCCTCGTCCATGAAAACGGGATCATTATCCAACCTTGGAGGACCAGTGTGAGGATTCAAACAGGCGATAAGAAAGGGCTTGGCCCAGGGTCCGAGGCAGGGAGCTCAGAAGCCAAGAAAGGAAAGCCCTTGGCAGAGCTCTGTGATGGAGAGGGCAGGAGGCTGGGCCAGGACGGGGGCGGAGCGGGCAGGGGTTGGCTTTGATGTCCCCTCCTCGTAGTCAATCTAGTCCCAGAGTTTGTACCGAGCTGGGGCCGAGCCTGCCCACTGTGGCTGTGAGGGGTGGGCGGGGCGGTGCTCCCCCAGGGGCCCGGCTGAGCCCTCAGCTGTGTCCCCCAGGCTTCCTACCTGTGCTCACGCTCGCTCTGGGGCTGAAGGCCGTGACCTTGGCCGTGCTGCTGCTGGCCCTGGCTGCCTGCTGGAAGACGAGACGGCGTCAGGACCCCAGGCCCAGCAGAACTGTGGACATCTCGGCATGGGACAAGGGACGAGAGTGAGAGGTCAGCCCCAGAGCAGAAGCTCCGAGTTAGAGAGAAGTCAGGCTCCTCAGCCACCCCTCTGCCCCCGGCCCCAGCCTCCCCATGTCCCCAGGCCTCACGTGAACTACCAGACCCGCACACCTGCTTTCAGCCCACCTGGAATCGCCCTGCTCGGCACTGGGCTCTCCCGATGTGGCTCCCTCTCTCTTCCCAGCCCCTTCTGCACCTCTTCACATCTTTCTTGTCTTTCACATGCAACTCAGAGTCTCCTTCCAGAAGGTTCCCTGGGCCTGAGTCCACCCAGCAAGACCGCCTGTGTTTCCCCACTTACATCCCTCTCTCCTCACTGTCTGTCTCCTTCTTGGCTTCTTTCCTTCCCACCATGACTGGCATTGGTGGCTGTAATAGTCCAAAGGCAGGCTTGGCAATTGTCACAAAGCTCTTAAACAACAATGGCGGGGCCAGCGCAATGGCTCACTTGGTTAATCCTCCGCGTGTGGCGCCAGCATCCCATATGGGCGCCGGGTTCTAGTCCCGGTTGCTCCTCTTCCAGTCCAGCTCTCTGCTGTGGCCCAGGAAGGCAGTGGAGGATGGCCCAAGTGCTTGGGCCCTGCACCTGCATAGGAGACCAGGAGGAAGCACCTGGCTTCTGGCTTGAGATCAGCGCAGCGCGCCAGCCATGGCAACCATTTGGGGGGTGAACCAACGGAAGGAAGACCTTTCTCAATGTCTCTCTTTCACTATCTAACTCTGTCAAATTTAAAAAAATGGCTGAAACCATAGAAAAGCTGACATCTCTGATAATATCCAGCCATAAGCACGTCAGGCCTTGCTGTGGAGACCCAGGCTCCCTTGATCTTGTCGGCACGAGGTCCACTTTCCAGGCAGCTAGACTGGCAAGAAGGGAGGGAGGGGCAGGAAGCATGACTCTCCCTCTTGTGGGAATGTCCCCGCCTTACTTACCTCTCGTGGTTGGGATGTGGTCACATGGTCATACCTAGCTGCAAGGCGGCAGCTTTACATGCTACACCACAGTGCCTGCCCCCCTCGGTCTGTTTTTATGTGTCAGTTTTTATGCCAGTACCATGCTGTTTTGGTTACCATAGCTCTGCAGTATGTCTTGAAATCAGGTATTGTGATGCCTCGGTTTTGTTCTTTTTGTACAAGATTGCTTTGGCCACTCAGGGTCTTTGTGATTCCCATGCATTTTACGATTCTCTGTTCTAGTTCTGTGGTGAACATCATTGATATTTTGATGGAAATGGCATTGAACCTGTAAGTTGCCTGGGTGGTGTGAACACTTTAATACCATTTCTTTCATCCAGGAACAGGGGACGTCTTTCCAATTTTGTGTCTTCTTTTTTCTAACTTCCATTGTGGAGGTCTTTCATATCTAAATTTGTTCCAAAGGTTTCATTTTTTTATTGTGAATAGTTTCTTTTTTTATTGTGAACACATTTTTTATTGTGATATTGCAGGCATCAGGGGATGAACCGCGGGCTCTGTTCCGGGGGCAAAGGCACCCTCCTACTTGCTTTGTGAAACAGCTAAGCCGACTCCCAGCTGAGCAAGTGCTGATTTCCACCTTCGTCTCCACTGGGGCAGCGTGACACGAGGGAGGGCTGGAGTTCTCTAGCGACTTTACCCTGGAGGACTTGTTGTCACATCTTGGCGGCTGCCACTGCCATCTAGTGGTATGAGGCCAGGCTGCAGCCAAACCTCCTGGAACACAGGACAGCCCCAACACTGCGAAGATTTTCTCTGACCCAAGGGTCAGTGAGGCTGAGGCTGAGATTCCCTGACCCCGGGGCCAGAGCAGAGGCCGTGAAGTCAGACCCACATCTGACTTCTTGCCCTGAAGCCTGCACTCCCTCCCTGTGCGCCCTCGATGACAACCAGAGCCGCTTCATTCTTTGGAAGCTTGAGGTCAGAAACATGGGTTTCTCTGCACGGTGCAAGAATCAATTCAAGGGCCGGCGCTGTGGTGTAGTGGGCTAAGCCTCCGCCCGCAGTGCCAGCATCCCATATGGGTGCTGGTTGGAGTCCCAGCTGCTCCTCTTCCAATCCAGCTTTGGCCTGGGAAAGCAGTGGAAGATGGCCCAAGTCCTTGGGCCCCTGCACCTTCGTGGAAGCTCCTAGCTTTGGATCGGCCCAGCTGCAGCTGTTATGGCCATTTGGGGAGTAAACCAGTGGATGGAAGACCTCTCTCTCTCTCTCTCTCAGCCTCAGCCTCGGCCTCTCTCTGTCTGTAACTCTGCTTCTCAGATAAATAAATCTTTAAAAAAAAAAAAAAAAGAATCAATTCAATTCCCACATTCACTGCATGTCAGTCCTCCCTCCAGGCAAATCCTTATTGGAATCTACCGGGGGGGGGGGGGGGGTTGGAGGCTTCGCCTAGGCATTTTTCCTTAAACAGAAAACAGCTTGGATCAAGCCAAGAGGACATGCACTGAGCCCAGGAATTGAATAAATCCTCACAGCACCAGGCTTCAAAGAAAGGGCAGGCGTGGAGGCTCAGTAAGGCCACCCCTGCCCCCTAAGATGTCAACGTCCTAACCTCGGGAACCTGCGACTGTCTCCTTAGACGACAGAGGAGGGGCTTGGCAGGCGTGAGTCAGGAATCTAAAGAGAGAGTGCTGGTTCATTAAGGATGCTGAGATGCTGAGGTGGGGTGGTCGCTAAAGGCAATCACAAGTGTCCTTAGCGAGAGGCATCAGGCCTTGAATCAGATGAAGAGGAGGGAGCAGCGGGACCACAGCCAAAGGAGCGCCTGCAGCCGCCAGACGTCTCCCCCAGAGTCTGCGGGCATGCTGATTCCCGACTTCCGGCCTGCAGAACCGTGAAGGATATGTTTCTGTTGTAAAACCACCAAGTTCATGGTCACTTGCCACAGCAGCCACAGGAATCCAACACCGCATGGAAGCAGGGAGCTGGGCCCCCATAACAACCAGGATCCCTAAACTGCACATGCTGCCCCTCTGACCTCATCTCCCGGCACCCCTCCGGGCCCTGCTCAGGCACCCACCTGGCCCCTTGCCACTCCAGGTTCCGATTCATCCAGAAGCGATGCCCCTCCAGAGGCCTCCCTGGGCCGTTCTGTGCATAATGGCACGTCCATCGCTCTCGGGTCCCCTGGCCACTTCTGTTTTCTTTACAGCACCTACTGCCGCCTTAGAAAAGTGAGTGTGTGCACACACGTGTGTATGCGTGTTTATCTGGGGGTAGTGTGTGCATGCATTGTGCATGTATGTGTACGTGTCTGTGCCCGTGTACATGTACACATGTGTGTGTGTGCATACACATGTGTGTGAATGCACCCAGGTGTTTATTTTCTCAACGGCAGTTCGTTATTCCTACTAGAATCTAAGCTGAGGGCAGGAAGCTACCTTCACACCCTTGTAGCTCCTTTCACTCAGTTACAAAAGGCAGTTTGGGGCTGACGGTATACACTGATCAATGTGCTAAGGACACACCAGCGAAGCCTGCATTCTCAATGCTTCCTTCCTGCTGGAGCTAGACAGACAGTGAGCACATAAACAGCGACAAGCAAATGTGCCACACGCTACTGAGTGCCAAAGGCAATAGCAAGGTAGGAGGCAGGGGATGGGAGGGGCCGGAGTGTGGGGGGAGATGATATTGTTGTTGTTTTACAGATTTATTTATTTGAAGGGCAGAGTTACAGAGAGGCAGAGGCAGAGAAAGAGAGAGGTCTTCCATCTGCTGGTTCACTCCCCAGATAGCCATAACAGCCGGAGCTGCACCGATCTGAAGCCAGGAGCCAGGAGCTTCTTCCGGGTCTCCCATGCAGGTACAGGGGCCCATGGACTTGGACCATCTTCCACTGCTTTTCCAGGCCATAGCAGAGAGGTAGATTGGAAGTGGAGCAGTTGGGATTCAAATCAACGCCCATATGGGATGCCGGCACCGCAGGCGGCGGCTTTACCCACTACACCATAGCGCCGGCCCTGATGATATTGGTTTATTCAGAGTACGACGTGCTATTTGCGCTGAGGCCTTGAGGAAGCGAGGGAGGCAGCCTCATAGATACCTTAGGGGAAACATAATGGCATATGGAACAGAAAGTGCACAGGCCCTGGGGTAGGAGTGTGGCTGACACGGCACACGCACAGCAGACACCAAGCAGGATGCCTGGCGCAGGGCAGACCCCTGTCGTCACCTGGAGGGGTCTCCAGGGTGGAAGCGAAGCCCGTGGTCTGAGGAATCTGGCCACGTGGTTGAAAGTCATTTTCCCATGTCTCTCCTGGGTGAGTTTGTTTCTGTTTCCCTGTGGACTGGGAATATCAAGAGTGCCTCCCTGATTAGGTGGTTTTGCGGCAAACGTGCACAGAGGCACGTGACCTGTCACCCGTGCCCGGCACCTGGGAAGCACAGACAGCTGCCATTACGCAGTTCCGGCCGTAAGCTGCAGCCACCACCCTCCACGTGACAGGCAGAAGGCGGCCCTGGGGTCTGGGCCCTTCTTTAGTGACTGTGGTCACCACCTGCAGTTGGAGGCTCCTGTAGTAGCCCCAGCATGGGTCAGGCGCCTTGTGGAGACTGGCAGGGGGTGGGCAGGAAGCGGGCCCCCAGAAGTGCAGGGGCACCCTCAAGGAGCGGAGCAGAGTGTGGCTGATCCGGGGCCCCCAGTGGGAGGCTGCTCTGGGTTTTTGCTTTCTCTTTTAGGCGTTTGCTGTTGTATTGAGAGAAAGAACAGAGAGAGGAAGAGGGAGACACATTTCCATTGGGACAAACAGAAAAATTGCTTAAACTATGCCAAAGAGGACGTCAGTTTAGCTTGATAACTGAATAAATTGGTGAATTTATTTCCTAGTTTCATTTATTTATCTATTGCTTTTAAAAGACAGAGAACTCCCAACTGCTAGTTCACTCCCCAAACGCCTACGACAGCTGGGGCTGGACCAGACCAAAGCCAGGAAGTAGAAACTCAATCCAGGTCTCCCGTGTGGGTGACAGGGTACCCAATTAATTACCAGAGCTATCACCTGCTGGTTTCCAGGGTCTGCCTTAGCCCAAGTCCTCTGGGGTGGCATCTGGCCTCCTGGCTGGGTCTTAACCGTGCGGTCATGTCCTCTTCCAGCCACACTTCTGACGTCAGCTCCCCCAGGAAGACAACCCGGAGCTGCCTCCAGGAAGCAGACAGACCGGGACCAGTGCAGTTCTGGGGGCCAAGGCGGGACAGGATGGCACAGAGGTCAGGAAAACAGACTCATGGCCTGCAGGGGCCTGGGTTCAAGCTCATGTCGATTGTAAAGCCGAAATGCCGCAAACAGTACTCACCTCTCAGGGTCGCCCTGAGGATGGCGGAGTCAGGATACTGAGGGCGCATTCAAGAATGTCTGGGGTGCGTGGCACAGCCCTGCAGGCTTCAGCGGCAGGGGTGGGGGCATGGGGGGAGTGTGGGGGGTGGTTCAAGACAGGATGTCCCTCTCCACGGCCTCTGGAGGAAGCACAAAGACCCCCTGGCCCAGGAAAGGGCTCTGCCCAGTGGACCAGAAGCAAAGAGGGTGTCACGGCCAGGTTCAGAGATTCCAAGGCCATCGAGGAGTTGGATCTTGGGGAGCCCATCACCCACGGATCTCTAAGCTACATTAAATCATTGCCAGTTTCCAGAATGAGAAAACAACCAAGTGCCAATGTGGTCCAGAGAGCCTCCGGCCTCCTGGACAGCCTGGGAAGTCGGGGCCCATTTCAGATGGACACGGCCATGAGGGGAGCAGGGCTGGTGCCACTGTGGACCCTCCCCCTTGTTTACCAGCAAGTTTCCGGAGGCTGCCTCCCATACTCACAGCCCATAATAGTCACATGCCTACCTATGGCCTAGTAACTTGCAGTCCCATCATAGTTGTCTGAACTGGAAAAAAAAAAAAAAAAAGGACCTGAAGAGCTGTCTATCAGGACCCCTAATAAAACTGGACAGCACCAGCCAGCTGCGGCCGGCTCCAGAACCGGAGCCTGCGCAGGTCAGCACAGACTCATCAACTTACCTGTGGCTCGGTATCGTGCAAAGTGACACACCTCCAGTGGCTTCCTGGCGGCCATCTGAACACAGCGTGTGTGATGACACGGTTTGTCAAGGTGGGTGCTCCCAGGACCTGCCCCGCCCCTTTCCTCTGCACCTGTTCTGTGCTGTCACTTGGTTGCGACAGTTCCGCCCCAGTGACCTGAACTCCATAAATTCCCAGACACCTTTCTCGATGCGGAGATGGATTGGGGCCTTGAGGAGACCGCTCCTTCCTCCCTCGGGCCTGTAATCAATACCCAGTGTTGTCTTTCTCGGAAGGTGAGTCCAGTGCTCTTGTAACAGTAACGGTTGCCCAGGAGTGCAGGACCTGCCATCTGCCGCCACAGGGGACTGGGACACTGGTGCTGGGAGGGCCATGCACCTCAGTTGGGGGGTTCCTCCCCCCGCAGGTCCTGCCAGGGCCCAAGGTAGCTGGAAACCTGCTCAGAACATGTGATGTGAAAACTTCATGTATTATTTGCATGGGTCAATGGAAATAAACAGGATCTGTAAGAAGGTTAAGGTAGGTGCCAGCTCACGTCCCAGCTGCTCCACTTCCGATCCAGCTCCCTGCTAATGGCCTGGGAAAAGCAGAAGATGGCTCAAGTGCTTGGGCCCTTGCACCCATGTGGGAGACATGGATGAAGCTCCTGGCTCCAGCCTGGGCCTGCTTTGGCTGTTGCAATCATCTGGGGAGTGAACCAGTGGATGGAAGACTCTCTCTCTCTCTCTCATTCTACCTTTCAAGTAAATTTTTAAATTGTTAATATAACATTTATGCAGGGCAGAATATGAGTGACAGGGGTCCGGGAGACACAAGCCTAGTGGCTTTCAAGGAGCCTTGGGAAGAGTTTCACAGTGGTCAAATGCTAGCCAGAATTTTCTGTCCCACAGTGAGCACCCAGCGGCTTGGCCTAGAAAGGTGGGCTTCAGCTAAGCAGGGTGGGGCGGGATTCCCTATGCCCTGGGGGTTAGAAGACCATTGACCAAAAACACCTTCAGAGAGGGGTAGAGTGCTGTCCCGGAAGGAGGCGTTGAAGAGAAAGCTACTGGCTAGTCTGGGAAGGCGCAAGGCAGGCGTGGGTGAGGAGCAAGGGGCTGCTCAAGGGTGCTCCAGAAGGCAACCAGAAGCAGGCCCTATGCCGACCTCACCCAGGTGAAATTCACCTTATGGCTGAGGGCGCCAGCTCTGTGCTGCTCAGGTGGGAGGCTCAGCAGGTGTTTCCTTTGAACACCTGGAAGGCTTTTAGGAAC